ATCCCCTGGAAATGTTGGCTGGCAAGTACCATGTGAGTGCTGGGAACCAAACCCAGGTCCTCTGAAAGAGCAGCAAGTATTTTGAACATCACCAGCTCTAGATCCCTCTGTAGCAAGAATTTTTCAAATTCAACATTTCTCAACATCCAGCCCATAAGACTGACAGAGTTTTCTGTTTCTACTTTCTGGTGCTAAATCGAGTATCCCAGCCACTTCAGGTCTAGTATTCGGTTCTACACACATGTCTTCTCCCATCAGATCTCCCTTTTGGCACAAGAATGGGATTTTCACATCTGAGCAGACTGAAGCTTGGAGATGGCCAGCGATTTAACCAGGAAATAAAAATGCCCATAAGAAGTAGAGGCGGGGTCTAATCCCAGGTCTGTCTAGTGTCCGGCTCCCTCAGAAGAATGAGGGACAGGACAGAAAGAATAACGCATACACTCACTGGGTCAAAAAAGGCCCAGGGCCTGATTTGAGGAAAGTTGTGTCTAGTCCGTTAGTATTCCTTCTGACAGAAGCCACAAGAGAATATTTTCTACTAAGAGTAAGTCATTATATAAATTAAATAAAATTTCCCTTCCATCCCACACAATGGGCATTGTAGAGCAGTGGTTCTAGACACCTTTAATCCCAGCACTCAAGAGGCAGAGGCAGAGGCAGGTGGGTCTCTGTGAGTTCAAGGCCACTCTGGTCTACAGAACCTATTCCAGGACAGCCAGGGCTACACAGAGAAACCCAGTTTAAAAAATTAAAAATAAAAAAATTAAAAGATGTTGACTCTTATTTCTACCTGTTGTTAATTCAGGGTCCCAGTTCTCCAAGCCTCAGTTTCTCTATATAAAATGCCATGCTAATACACTACAGTCTCACAAGGTGTATCTATCGAAGGCGCTACACAATTTTAATTTTTTATCGGTAAACAAGAAGAAAAAAATCCTAGTCCTCCAAAAATCCTTCCAGCGATGGTAAATTCTGCAAAATTTTGATAAGGAAAAAAAAATGCAGCCTGGCGGAATAACTTCCACACAGATGCACTCCCACGGGCCACACAAACAGCAGCTCTGCCATACTTGTGCTGCTTATCTGCAGATAGCTTGGCAGCACGTCCTGAACCTCTTCACTTCGCACCAGCAGCCCAGGCCTGTCCTCCCTTCTGTCTGGTGAGGTCACTGGTTAGGGCTCCAGGGCTGGAAAAGCAGAGTGGGCAGCACAGGGTGTGCATGGCACAGGCGGTGCATATCACCAGGTGCCAAGGGGAACCGAAACCTCAAAATTCCTCTTGCCTTTCCCTGTGAGAACCTCTTCTCTCTCTCTCTCTTTTTTTTTTTTTTTTTTTTTTTTTTTTTTTTTTTGCCTAAATAAGTAGAAATAATTGTTTAGGACAGATTTTATCCTTGTCCCCAAAGATAGGACAAATGCTCCTTTCGGACTTACTTTTCCGAGGTGGCTCTTAGATGGCTAGAACATCTCTCATGAGCCATGTTGTGCTCTGAAACAGGAGTCAGTGAAAAGGACCAACATACTAAGGAAAGCATGGCATCCTTCGAGGATCGCCACACCCAAAGCACCTGCAACCTTGCCCTTTGGGTTTAAGGATGCTATTCTGTGCTTTCGGTTTCTAAGTAGGTTTACTACAAGCAAGTTTTAAAAATTAAATTAAAAATTTAAATACCAGAATTGCACCACCAACATTATTTTAAAATAACTTTCTAAAAGAATGATGGAATTAAATTTCAAGTGCGGTAACCGAATATAGTTCGTATTCTGTAAATGAAGAAATGGCACCACCAACCATGTGGCACACGTTGGTAAAAGTCAGCTCTTCGGTGCAGATAACCGAGGGGTTGATGTGACAACAGAACACCAGCTAATTAACATTTCAGGGTTGGCTCCGAAGCCAATCCTGTCATCCAATTCAGAGTTAAGCATAAGCACATGTATATTCAAGTTGAATTTGAGACAGCAAAACATTAGAATCAAACTATATGCTCAAGAAGAAGTCAATAGCTAAATATATTCATTCGTTGAAGGGGACATCATAGGAGTGTATAGAAAAATCAGTATATAGTGTATAGCAATAAGACAATATTAAACACAATATTATGTGGGAAATAGGATACACAGTTGAACAAAGCTATGAAGACCAATATGCCTATGGGAAAGACAAAGAATGTATTCAACACTGCAAAGAACTCAGTTTGATAAATTGTTTGAAGTTTTATGTTCCAATTTTATTATCACTCTATGGTGCCTTTAAGGATTTTTTTTAAAAAAATATCCTAGAGTGACGATGGGGACATCAGTGGACAGATGTCGATGCTGTAGGCCTCTGCTCACACCAGATGCCAGATTCACTCCGCAGTTGTGACAATAGAAAAGGGTTCCAGACATTGCAGTTAAATCCTCAGAACCCACATGGGGTGAGGAAAACCAACTCCTGTGAGTTGTCCTCTGACCTCCACATACACAATGGTCATTGTAACACACACACACACACACACACACACACACACACACACACACACACTAAATAAGTAAATACAGAGTTTACAATTTTAAATCCAGCATTTTGGGGGCTCCACTCCTTAAACTAGTGATCAAATAGGTCTAGGATGAACATTTACAGGATGCATTTCTAGTGCGTTCCCAGGTGCTGGTGCCATGGGGAAGAAACCTCACTATGAGAGTCCCTTGGACAGTTGTCTCTAACTAGAGACCATATAGAAACCCATATAGCCCCACAGAGTGGGACTAGGGATGAACCTGGTGCAAGCCAGGGCAGGCAGAAGCAATAGAGGGCGAGGCTCGGTGTCGACACCCGGAGTGGTTGGGTATCTTTGCTGCCAGCCCACAGGGAACTATGCAATTCTTAAATAGTTAAGATCACTGACTCTCCCTCAAGGCTTTCCATTCAAGGACAGAAAGGTCAGCCATCAGCTGTGGGAATTGTATTATAATTGAGTAATAAACATGGCATATGGAGATACTCATCAAAGTTATTAACTAATTTGTATCATGCATCTGGAACTTATCAAGGTTCATCTCCCAGTGACTAGAGGTTTGGAGTCACAACTGACTCTGGAAGGATAGCACATTATATGGAAAGTTCTTAACAGTTGTTGGCAACTGGCTACACAGGATTTGAGAAAGGGGAGGGAATGGAAGAGAGGACATGAGGGGAGGTGATGGGAGGTGATGGGAGGAGGAGGAGAGAAAAGACACTGAGAGAGGGAATATGATTTGAGACTGATAGTTAATTGAGATAAAGATGTAAGCATATCACCCCCAGGTCTGAGACATTATCCCCAGGCTATCACAACCTACACAGTCCTCCATAGGAACTCCCCACATGCTTCACAACTTTGGTGCGGTACTGTTAATGTTTACTCTCCTGACAGAGACGTGAACAGGTATTTCTTCAACCACATTGGACCTCACAATGGCTGCAAGTGTCTAGATTTTTCAAACATCTGGAAAGCCAAACGTAAAGCTTTTCTTTCCTTCTTGAATCACTGTCATTATGTCAGTAATGATGGCCTCAGTGAAGTCTCCCTCTCCCTCTCTCATCTGCTTTCACTGATCCACTTCCAAGACCTGGAAATACTCACTTCTAACAAAGCCATCATGAATGACAATTTCCCACTCAAACCCTCTGCCAAAATGCATTTTATGCTTCTTTATAAGCCAGACAAGAAAGGATCCCTATGCCTTGAGGACAACTACAATCCCCACATCATTAAATGAACAAACAAAACCAACAATATCCATTAAAAAGAGCAGGAATTTAATTCTTGCATTCAGGCTATGCCCACATGAGAGTTTAAAATGGTTTTAATGAAGTCACATACAGGTTTAATGCACATACATCACAGGACGACACACATCCACAGTTATCATGCCTCTTCCTTTTAAAGCTAACTCATCTTATTTTCTCAACTAATGATTGACTGACTTTATAATTCTTCACTGCAGATTTCACAAAAGCTAGTTTGGCTATTTTAAAAATAAACTTATGAAATACTTATGAGGATATGAATGTTAAATCCAAGGAAAGGAAGAGCTATCTAAGAAGCTGTTAAGAATCAACATAATAGTGTGAAATTCAACCTTTTTTCTTTTGTATTTGCATATTCTAGCCACAAGTATGATACACTGGATACAATACTTAAAATGCCAACATTCCGGCCAAATGATGATTTTGGAAGATTCTGGATGCATAGTTTGAATGGCTGGGTAGTCTGTTTAAAATTTCACATTTTTAAAAAATTTTAAATATGTTTTTTTTTAAAATGTGTATGGGTATTTTGCTTGCATGTATGTCTGTGCATCATGTGTGTACTATGCATGCAGATGCCAGAAGAGGGTGTCCAATTCTCTGAAACTGAAATTACAGGTGGCTGTGAGCTGCCATGTGGGTACCAAGAATCAAACTTAGGTCCTCTGCAAGAGCAATGAGTGCTCCCTGCCACGGAGTCATCTCTCAAATGAAAATACAGATAACTGTATCTTATGTGTTTATTATATTACATATCAGTTTGCTTTACACTATTAAATCTTGAGATTAAAATATTGAGAGTAATCTATGGGTGTTTCACACTCTGTCATTTCTGGGTATCTTGAAAATACAACTTAAACCCTCTAATGTAAAGACAAATTCTGGGGCAATGGCCAGGCCAGGTTTATTAAGTGTTTTGATCTATTCTTTGGTCTGATATTCTCTTTTTCTTTTGTATCAAAGCAACCTTCTAAATTGTATACTCTAAAGACTTCTTATGTTTCTCTAAGTGCATCATGGACATTTCTGAGAGTTTATATCAATGATTCCCTTAGTAGTGACTGTCATCTGCTACCATTCCTGTTGGAATAATAATAGCCACCGGACCCACTATCCTGAATTAGGACCCAACATTGCATCCAATACCAGCCTTAATTTAACTCTCTATTAGACAGACCTCATGATGACTTGAAAACACTTCATCATTGATTCATCTTCTTACCAGAAGTGAGACTTGCCATCCCTGTAGATTCCTGATCGTTTCCATGGTGACTCACTAGCATGTGTGGTTCCAGCGTTTGGTTTGGAATGTAAACCAAATGGTCACCTCCATGGTTCTCCAACATAAACGATGAGCCTTTCCCAGCAGACAGTTCTTGACTAAGAAGGCTGCTCTTGGTTGCAGAAACCTCATGCAGCTTAGCAGCCAGTCTACACGGAGAAAAAGAAAGTTTTAGGCTGAGTCCAAATAGATGCAAATAAAATATCTAAACATTTTAATATGGTTCTTGAATTGCTTATTAAAGAAATTGGGCTGATACCTCAGTTGGAAAAGTGCTTGGTTTGCAAACATTAAGACCTATGTTTGATCCCCAAGAACCCACATAAAAAAGCTGACCATAGTGATATCTGCTTGGAATCTAAGCACTAGGAGGAAAAGATGAGTGGATTCCTGGGGCTCTCTGGCTAGCTATCACAGACTACTTCCTGAGTTCTAGGACAGTGAGAGACCCTGAGTGAAAAAATAAAACCAAAAACCAAGGTAGATGATACCTGAGGAACAACAACCACGGTTGTCTTCTGGCCCGACACACACACACACACACACACACACACACACACTCACACACTCACACACACACTCACACACTCACACACACTCTCACACACTCACACACACACACTCATACACTCACACTCACACACTCACACTCACACACACTCACACACACTCACACTCACACACACTCACACACACTCACACACTCACACACTCACACACTCTCACACACACTCACACTCACACACACTCACACTCACACACACACTCACACACTCATACACTCACACACTCACACACTCACACACACACTCACACACACTCACACGCTCACACACACTCACACACACTCACACACTCACACACACAAACACTCACACACACTCACACACACTCACACAGACACACACACACGTTCACATTCGTGCATATACATGTACACCCACACATTGATCAAATATATGCACACACATATATACTCAGAAAAGAAAAAATTTGGTGGTAAAAATTCTAAATTAATTTCAGTCAAACAATTCATCTCCATTTAGCCTTCCTTTCCTCATGTTCACTTATTACCTATAAAGTATTCCTTTGGAATAATCCAAGTATTACTTGAATAGAGTTTTCAATAAATGATGAGGAAGTCATTCATCAATTAGCCACTGGACCAATCTTATTACACCTCAGACTGATACCAATTATCATAGAAAATGGGCGTTTAATGGACAAAGCCCTGATCCGAAAGGATAAGGTTACAAGGAGGCTCTTGAAATATATTTTAGAACTATTTATTCATTTTATTCAGATGATAACAGAAAATATATATAAGCATATTCTTGGTAACATCATTTTAATTCAATATTTGTAGTTGTGTTTAATACTGATGTTTGGTATCCAGAAGTATTATTTAGCTGTGGGGCAGAACAAATAGATATAACTTATGAAACAGTATTGTCACAGCCCACAAAGACAAATGAGATCATGACACATTGCATAGATGATGGTCTTGTACTTGTGTGTGTGGATTTGTGGTGAGAACATGGGCTGTCATGCAACAACAGAGGCCAGGTGCATCTACAGCATGTGCCACATCACACCATTTTGTCTTCAAAATTTCAGCTTCAGAAAAACAAAATCATCCATTACACGAAGTTAGTATAAGACTGTTTTTGTCTGATGGTTTAGACTTGATGTGTAAAGTTGTTTGGGTTTAATAGTTGGGTAAGAATCACAAATGTCATAGCATTTACAGGAGGCTTGTGTTTGTACATGTTCAAGTAACAATGTAACTTGTCTGCAGCCCTATTTAAAAGAGTCTATGGCTTATTCAAGAGGAACCACCCTACTTGACACTAACATTGTCTTTCCCAGGGGTTCGCTGTTGGACACATCCTTGCTAAACTACTCAATGAATAGAATCTGACATTAGAGGAGTATGCGTCTGTATGAATTCTGGTTGTTTCTGGATACCTAGAAGAAGCCATATCTTCTCTGAAAAGATGCCTTGATTAATGCAATTTGCAGTAAAGAGAAGTAACTATAGACCAAGACCAGCTATAGTGAGGGATCCAAGCTTAGTGTAACTCCAGCTAAAATCAACCAATAAGGGATATTCTCACAGTATTTGAGGGGCTAGAGTCAGCCAATTAATTAGTTTTTGTTGTTGTTGTTTTTTAAATAAAGATACAGCATTCATGAAAATTGTTGGCATGTGTATTGTATTGAAGGTCTTCTGTGGGACACTTTGAGGTTGAAACAACGCAGAGGCAGTCCTAGACTTAGTAAGATGAGACACTGGAGTTAGCTACCACAGTGCCTTAGCAGAAGTATAAACGAGCACTGTCTGTTGATGTTTTTTAAATGGCATGGTCTCTCTATGTAGCCCAGATTGGTCTTGAACTCCCAATTTCCCTGTCTCTGATTCCAGAGGAGTGCAACACCATAACGCAGCTAAGGTCGTGGATTTTGAGCAGGGTGTAGGGTAAATATCAGTTTCAAAGAGGAGGCCACTTGAATCATGACCACAAAGTGTGAATGCACCTTATGAGAAGGAATGGGATCCCAGGCAGCTGACCAGAAACCAGCTGACCACAAGGCACACACCAGCCCAGTGCAACCAAAACTCAGGGCCTCAGGAAGGGGAGGCTCTGGGCAGTGAGGTCGAAGATAACCTGTGAGGTTTGTTGTCGTTGTTGTTTCAAGAGTAGAATAAAGTCACGCCTTTAAAGGAAAAGTTTAATGAAATTCATGATGTTGTTATAAAACAAAATGCCTTAGACTGGAAAGCGTGCTCGATGCATGGCTGCTGCTGTAGAAAGTGGAATCCATGAACAGCCTCTACTTCAGACACCTTGCCTATTGCCTGCCATGGCCAGTTACACACCCACCAGTCAATTAACAGGAACTTGTAAATACAAGTGCTCTGCTACCTACCGGAGGCTGCGCTGCCGTGGCCCATCTCCTCTCTCTGAATGGATGCGCCTGCAATCACCCTCCAGCATCTGTGGTGGGTACTGATTGAATCCATCTATGGAGAGAACAAAGTTATGGTTTGGTGTCAAAACTAGAAATTGGGTTTTCTGGGCAATGAGAACCCCAACAGAAATCCTCTCAAAGCAATAAACGTTAGTAACACATTTCAAGAGAATTTGTCTGCGGTACGAGTGGAAAACACTGTCAACTTTAGGAACAGCATTCACAACTTGAGCTTCGGAGAGTTTCAGCGGCCAAAGAATTACTAGGATCATCGGAAAGTGTTCAAGGTGTTCAGGGAAGGGTTAATTGTGATGCAGGGACACAGGGACACATGAGTGCTATATGCCTATGCTAACACAATCTGAGAGACAATCTATCCTGATTCTCTACGGCTTTTCCTCCCAGACTGAAACTACTAGCTCAAACATAGAAAAGACGGTGTCTTATTACATGATATTATTTCTCTGCTTCTGCACCAATAAACGCTGATTTCCTATGAGAAAAGGAGTCGCAGAAAGGATTTTAACTTACTGACAACACAATCCATCTCTTTAATCTCTTTCTGTACTACCTGTAAGCTGCACACTACTGTAATTCCCTCTCATTCAGGAAAACAAATTTTAATGAAACAAGGCCCTTAGTTATTGAAGACCCGAGGCCCTAAAAAAGCATCCCAAAGGTAGTTTTGTCTCTGTGACTCTGGGATACAATTTTTTCCCCATTTGTCTAAAATGAGGATATGATTCTGATTGACTCCATTTGCCAATGGCTATTGGTGGAAGGAGGGACCACGACACAGCTGTTACCTCTGTGTACAGAAAAGTAAAAGTGCATACAACCAGGGCTGGCACTTTGGGGGAAAGTTCTCAAAGAACCAGCAGCTGCAAAACCGTCATTTAACTCTGACAAATGAAATAGGGCCAGGAAGGCGAGAAAGGTGGGAGTCAACGTAAGTCAGATTTGCTCAATTGCAAAGCCACTGTCCAGTCCGGCAGGACCAGACCCAAGGTGTTTTGAGTCCATTAAAATCCTGCAGGGTTAGCCATCTGGATGGCACAAAGGACAGCACTGTGGGAAACAATGCACAGCCGTGCCTCTGGTCAAGAAGGTAAAATTTGAAATGTTTAGTGTTTGCAAGAGTCCCTTTCAGATGAGAAGGTGTTTGGCTAAGACCTGGCAGTCTGCTGCACAGGTGTCCCTCCCATCAATGTACCAGAATGACACACGGTGGTGTATGTCTGAAAAAATTACTATAAAATAAAAAAATTCAAATCCAGTGGGAGGGTTGGTATCAAAATTGATTTGGAAGCATTGTTTTGATTCGTCTTTATGCCATTCAAATGGGACCGTGTTTTATGTTTAAAGGCAATAATCTAGCATTCCCAAGAGTGTAGGTAGTGAGTTCAACAGTTGAATGTGAGTCATGGGAGATAGGCAGAGGCTTCCTTACAATGGAGAATTTACCATGAGGATACTATTCCTGCTGTGGGACATTCCCTCTACACCAGGCAACAGAATGCAAACCTTGCTCTAAACCTGACAGAGTCCCACACAGAACAGGCTTGGCTCCATTTAGAGGAATCTCCCAGAAGACAGTGCCATGGTTTGGGTAAATGTTCCCCAGAAGTCCATGAGGATAAGACTTGGTGTCAAGGGCAGAGTTGTTGGCAGATAACCTACTCTTTAGGAGGTAGTCCTAATAGGAGGTCTCCAGGTTGTTGGGATGTACTCCTTCCCTTCTCCTCTGTCTTGTTTCCTAGTTTCTTGTGGGAGCAAATTTGTTCTCCCTGCACCCAAGCCATGCAAGTGTCAAAGGCACAAAGAACCAGGCTACCTAACTCCAGGCTACCTAACTCCAGGCTACCTAACTCCAGGCTACCTAACTCTGGACAGTAAACTCCACAAGCATGATCAAAACCAAACCTATCCTCTTTAGGAGTTAATTTGGTATTAGGCAGACTAACACAAAGGGCTCCTCAACTTAACTTCTTTGTACTTGGGGGCTGAGGTTTGTTTTGTTTTGTGTGTGTGTGTGGGGGGGGTGCTGGCTATCCATCCCGAGACTTGTAGAATGATAATAGCATCTCTAGATTTTACCTACTTGACATGAATAGCACTTGAAATTTTTAAGAATCAGATCAGAAAACTCTCCAGGACATTTCCAGCTATCTCCTGGAGGTAAAATATCACACACACACACACAAAGAGAGAGAGAGAGGGAGAGAGAGAGAGAAGCTGTTTCTTCAGGGAAGTGTTTTCTCACACCATTTGTGGTAGAGGACGAGGAACTACTTCTAACCCTTGGCAGACCAACGCTGTTACTTTTTATTATTTCTGATGACACAGAGTCCACTGATCGTGCACTCGTATGCTCCAGCAATCATTGTCAAGTTCCTTCAAGAGTACTTACTCTCAATTTTGAAACTTAGCACTCACAGGTCAGTTTGTGGGCTGGCCTGTATACAGAGGGTAACACATTGTTGTACACAGCACTGCAGCCATGCTGCTTAAAGTGTGATCTGTGACCCACAACACTGGCAATACCCTGGTGCCTGCGAGGCACAGTCTCGGACTCCTAATCCTGTCGAACAGGAAGCTGCCTGCAGGTTTTTCGGATTCCTATGGGGCATGACTGGGTCATCATATTCTCACACTCTTCACTATGTGCCATGATTAGAAAATAAACCCATTTAAATGCTCAAACCATACTTTTTAAGAGCTGTTAGGACTTTTCCAGGCTGAACAAATACAGCCCAGAAGACCACCAGTCACTCTGTGATTGCTGCTGTACAGATTTTGGCTAGAGATATTCTACCATAACAAGGTCTCCCCCAAGGCATAAGTAGGGTACATTCAGGACATGCCCTACCTTTGCTCCCAGTCATTACCTAATGTATATATTTGGATTCATTACAGACTGCATGGTATTGACCTTAGATTATTAATACTACTACTAGATACTACTCCAAAAGGAAAATAACCAAATAATGACTTACGTCTGACAAAATATATAAATGGCTTCAGAAACTTCACAATATAATTCATATCTGGCTTGTACATTCTCCCAAGCTGTATCAGATGGTGATCATGTGGGTAGCTTGCTAATTGTTCCATCCCATCTCTTTGTGTGGAGCCCAGAGAAACCACAAATATAACATAGCCTTGACATTTAGCCCTCAAAGCTACCGTCTTCACAAACTCCTTCTCCTCATGATTCTCACCAGCTGAAACCACAATGATGACCTTGTGTTTTCTTGGATTGGGGGTTGCCGGGAAGAGACCTTCCATGGCCCACTGTAGGCCAAGACTGATGGCGGCATCTCCATTTAGTTGTTGGAGGGATGTATGAATATAGTTCTTCATGCTGGACAGGTTGTCGTAGGTTGTAAACTCAAACTCTGTCTTCACTCTGTGCTTCTTTCTGGAATTCTCTGAGGGAGAATAGCTCAGCAAAGCAATCCTGTCACCAGAGTCTGAGACTGAAGGGTTTGAAGTGATGTGAAAGTTGTCAATCACTGAGCTCACCAATGTTTTCATGGCTTGGAAATCATCATTGGCTATATTATGGGAATTGTCTAAAAGGAATGCCACATCCATGTATGAGTTTTCAGGAACAAAAGTCTCTTCTGCACAAGTATTTGGAAAACATTTGTCTGAAAACACACAGAGAAATGCATCATGGGATTAGTGTGAGCATAAAACATGGAGAGCTTCTAAGAATCAGTGTATATCAATACTTCTATATCACATCATGTAAATTAACAAGAAGTGGCCAATGTCCCATTAATGTTGGGGCAACTAGCAGCTAATATCATGGGGTCTATGGTGAAACAGATTTAGGTGGCATGTACCTCTGAAGTCCACAATCATGTCCAAAATCATGAAGAAAGTATTTTCAGTAGTTCAGAGGCTCTCAATACAAACTACAACACTATCATAGAAAAGACTACAGCAGTTAGGTAATTTTCAAAACCAGTTTTCAGGTGCTATAGAAACTCTATAAACATTAGAGGTTGGAGCTCTGACATAGTGCATTTTCTAAAAACTAAAAATAGAACCTACCATAATAAATAGAAATATCCCACAAAAGCCCAGTTCAATACCTCCCCAGGAAGGCATTAACCCTCCTGCACAGTCAGCCTTCCCCAACGGTCTTACCATAGCAAAGTGTGCAGCGCCGAAGCCTTTCCTGGGGCTCATAATTCCCCACTGGGGGAACTGGAATCACCTGAAATGTCCCAGTGTCATCAAACTGCATTTAAAAAAAGAAACACATGCTACTTGCACACTTTAAGCCTTTATTGGGAAATTAGTATGTGCTCGTCATGAGAAAAGCTTGAAAAATGCCCATTATGACTATTACTATCCATTACAATCCTTTGGTTTATTCAGTAACACACACACACACACACACACACACACACACACACACACCATCAGTATCCCTATTTCACGATGAGGATTTCTTTTTAATATGTGCTGGATGTTTCACCCACATGACTGTCTATACACTCCATGGGTGCATGGTACCCTTGGGGGAAGAAGAGGGCATTGGGGCCCTGGGTGGAATTGCAAATAAAATGCAGGTCATCTTAACCACCAAACTACCTCTCTAGCCCCAGCCATAACATCTCTTGTTTTCATGACTGCAATGCTGGTCTGATTTTAACATGTTTCCATGTACCACATGATGATGAATACACATACCACCAGCTTTTAAGGTTGGGCCCTTCAGAAAACTTTCATTTGCAGTTTCCATTAGTCACTTTAGGTGATGACATCAGAGCCATTTCTACTGCACTCCATCAGAAAGGCTCATCTTCCTGAAGTCACATGGACCTTTCTAATCATAAACTCCAATGAAGTCTATTTCAAATGGCAACAGACTGAAGGCATTGTACTTATTCAAAATGCTTGCTTGTAACTCCTCCATCCTCCATTGTCTCTCCTATGACTACCTCTAGGCAGACTTTTTTGTCCTGCCAGCCACTCCCCAAATAGCCATATAGAGACTTGATATTAATTATAAAAGCTTGACTGAAAGCTTATGCTTGCTACTAACTAGCTCTTACAACTTAAATTAAGCCATATTTCTTATCTACCCTCTGCCACATGGAAGTACCTTCTTCCAGCATCTCATATTCATCTCCTGCTTTATGTGAATCTAACTTGCGATACTCTGACCCTACCCTCCTTTTTCCCAACATTCTTTCTGCCCCCAAAATCCTGCCTAGTTGTCAGCCAATCAGCTTTTTATTAATAATAAGAGCAACACATCTTCACAGTGTACAGGAAGATTACACAGCAACTATTCTCGTTCTCATTCTGTTTCTTGATTACTATGTTGCTTTAATGTTCATAAAAATGAGCAATATGCAATGCTGGTTCATTAATTCATTAAGTTGATACCTAATTTGAGGACATTTATGTTTATGGTCCTATGCAAAGCAGATGATGTTATTCTAATGAAAGGGACATATATTTCCATAGGGTGATGAGGCTACCCTTCAACCCACAGCAATGCTCAGGCTTGTGCCCCACCCAGAACACAGAAAGGTCAAAAAAAGCCACACCCTCTGCCTTTCTGTAAAGTGTTGAGTGTCCGAGCATATTTACAATCATTTCAGCCTTAGTTGGATGTTATTCCTCTCTTATGAACTTGGGTATTTGGGCATTACTTGACAGTCTACCATTTTGGTCTCACATCTAAAGGATGCATGCTCACTCAGTGAACCAAAGAAACTGATTCACAGGAGTGGACCACATGCTCTGCATTCATTTGTTCATGCATCCAACACATACGGATTGAACTTAACAAATATGCATTGGATGCCAACAATGTTACAGGTACAGTTGTGATGTTAGAGGAATTGAAATAAGCAGAAGAGATAAAATACCTTTGCAGTATGCTCTAGTGGGGTAGACCTATCATAAACATCAAAATAAGTATATTATCTAATATGTTTACAGGTGATCATTTCCCTTTAAAACATAGTAGGGTTGTGAGGATGGAAAAGGCTAGGTACCATTTAAATGAAATTCACCAAGAGAGAGACTGAGAAGGGACTGCAATGAGGTAAGAGCAGCCAGGAAGATGAGATTCTGTGGAAGATGACCTTTGGTGTAATACTCATTATCATCTTAATCAGAGTAGCTGTGATGACTCACAAGCAACTCTAAGGTTGGATCTGTTGACCCTCCTCATAGGAGGAGGAGGAGGGAGGAAGGGAGGGCGGTTATTAGACCACACTGGCGATTCCAGAAACTCTGTCCTCATTACCTACTCCAGCTATAATTCTGCCCCAGCTGCATACCGTTGTGGGAGGTGCTAGCTGTGTAGGAGGTGAACCTCTAACTGAATAGGGACCTCATCTATGCAGTCATGAAGAAGGGTTCATCCACACCTGGTGACACTGCTTAGTGATGCAGTAGTTTGGGTGTCACCCACACCCCTCTAAGCAGTTCTTCCCCCCACGCACATGTAAGCAAACCCCTTGTGTCAGTTATGTTTTGTTGCCAGGATAAAACACCATGACCAAAAGCAAGTTAGAGAAGGAGGAGGCTTTCTCTGGCTGGTGGTTCCAGAGGGTTAGAGTCCACAATGGTGAGGACACATTGCTGCATCAGATTAGCAGCAGGAGCAAGAAGCTGAGAGATCCCATCCCAACCCAACACACAAGAGACTGAGCAAAATGCACTTGGGGCGGGTGTAAATTTTCAAAGCCAGCCATTGATAGGCTTCCTTCCAGCAAGGCCATACTGCCCAAGGGTTTCATAGTCTCCCCAAACAGTGCCACCATCTGGGGACCAAGAATCCAAATCCTGCGCCTACGGTTGACATTTTTTCAATCCACCCCACCCCAGCCCTCACTCGTGTACCTGTAAGGAAGCCAAATAAACTCATTGGTGCACTAAGCTAGACTTAGGCAAGCTGTTCCTTTCGTTTGTCACTTGTGTCCTATCTGAGATGAGGAGACATCTGTCCGCGTACGGTGTCAGTGGGGAAAATGTTCCCAAGAAGACACAGGGCCAATGGCTGTCTTAACCCTGCTAATAAATTATGTGGGCGGAGTGTGGGAACAAGCCCCTAAGTATAGAAACCCTGAGAACATTGTTGACTGAGAAGGGCACTTTGGGGACAGGAGTGGGAGTAACAATGTGGACAGGATTTGCTCAAGAAAGAATGTAAGAGTCAGGTGGGGGTCTGTGCATGTCAAGATGGGGGGAGAGAGGAAGGGAGGAACCAGAGGAGGGAGGGGAAGGAGGGAGGGAGGGAGGGGGAGAGGGAGGGAGAGAATGCGGTGCTGTGGACAGCACAGAGGCAAATTTCCCTTGAGAAATCGTTGTATGGGGAGCTAAGAAAATAGGATCAAAACTAAAGAGAGAAGTTGGGCCATGAAAATTAGATTTTTTTTTCTCTCTTGGTTAGAAGGATTTGACAGAAGGGACCAAATGATCTATATAGACAGAGACTCCAGCAAGAATAAACTTGCCACTTTCGGGGAATGCCTGAGTGCTTAATAACTGTTCATTCTGTTCATCTCGTGGGAGGAAATGCCGTAGAGAAGAACAGATTTCTAGAGATTCTATCTAAAACTTGCAACAGCCTTATAAATTTCTGGAACATCTGGGGGATGCTGCAAATTTGGTCTCCAATTGAGGCAGAACACAGAGATTTAAAAAAAAAAAAAAGATGAGACAGTGTTTCAAATAGATTTGTCAAAAGAAGCTATTTTAAAATGGCATGCGGAGTGTGAGGTGGCTCGGAAAAGTGAAAATGTCCAAAACCACATTTAAAATGTTTATCCTCACACAGGAATACTGGCTATTCTTTATCATACCAGTAAAAGATATTTTTATTGTGCTAATGATGTGTGTGAGTGTGTTTCTGTGTGTGGGTTTGGGGACCTGAGTGCAGATGCCTGCAGGACCCAGAGGCACCCAGTACTTGGAAGCTGGAGGAACAGGTGGTTGGGAGCTGCCTAACACGGGTGCTGTGGATTGAACTCAGGTCCTCTGCAAGAGCATTACATGCTCTTAACTGCTGGGCCATCTCTCCAGCTCCTCATAATGGTAAAAATTTTAAACACACATAAAGCTCCAAAGTTGCAAAGTACACAGAGAAGGTTTAAGGAAGAGGAAGAAGGAACCCTGGGTGGAGAGGAGCATTGAGGCAGGCGTGTGCATGAGATAACTAGAGGAAGCATGTGGCTAGAATTAGCTTGTGGGAGTGTTAACTGGTGAGAGCAGTTATGAGAAATATCACAGGGTTCGCGCCCTGTAGAGCAGCTGAGGTCTAGTGCGGTTTGGGTATGGTCCCATCAGACTATAAACTGGATTTGGCATCCAATTCTATTCTAGAATTAGAGGTAGCTCTCAGAGCAGGAATGTCACTCATTTCTTGCAGGGAGCAAAATTAGGGAGGCAGGGAACCCTGAAAAGAGAAACTAAGAATAGGAGACCCTTGACTTCTAAGATCTGTTTTATCAGCAACTTTTGTGGCTCCTAGTTCCAGAAAACTCTGTGTGTGTGTGTGTGTGTGTGTGTGTGTGTGTGTAGCAAGCTGACTCCTCCTCACCTTTTAATATAGAAACGCATGCATATGAATAGATCTTCATAGCCTCCTGAGCAATGAGATGGCTTCACCCAGCTCCAGAGGCCTCTTATGGTTTGAATGTGGGATGTTCTATTCTGGCTCCTGCGATTGGACATACAGCCTCCAGATGGTGACACTGTTTCGTTAAGACTGTTGAACCTCTTAAGAGGTGGAGCCTCGCTGGAAGAAATGAGTGCCTGGGAGCGGGTCTTGGTGTTTGCGGGCTGGACACCCCTTCCTGTCATCTTTCCCTTTCCTCACTGCAGATGCCGTGGTGACCCTGCTGCTTCATGCTTCCCCGCCATGCCTTCCCCAACACACAAACTGCATCCTTATGGCCTGAAAGTCAAGATAAACCCTGTGTCCCTTAGGTTGCTCCCTGTCAGGTGCTTTGCCAGTTATGAGTACACACACTCACACACACATACACACACACATACACACACACTCACACACACATACACACACATGCACACACACACTCACACTCACACACACTCACTCACACACACACACACACACTCACGTGTTTCACAAGTGGTCAATACACTGAAAGTTACTGGACAGTACACAAAGAGGGTCTGTAGTTTTAGGGTTTTGTAGGTTGATCTGTTTTGGATGAGAAAGCAAGATAGACGGGCTGGAGAAATGGCTCAGAGGTTAAGAGCACTGGCTGCTCTTCCAGAGGTCCTGAGTTCAATTCCCAGCAACCACATGGTGGCTCACAACCATCTATAATGATATCTGGTGCCCTCTTCTGGCATGCATTCATACATGCAGGCAGAACATTATACATAATAAATAAATAAATCTATTTAAAACAGAAAGAAGAGCCTTCATCCAGTAGCTGAAGGAAGCAGACACCCACAGCTAAACACTGAGCCGAACTCCTGGAATCCAGTTGCAGAGAGGGAGGAGTGATGAGCATATGGGTCAAGACCAGGCTGGGGAAACTCACAGAAACAGCTGATCTGAACAAGGGGGAGCTCATGGATCCCAGACTGATAGCTGGGAAACCAGCATGGGACTGACCCAGACTGCCTGAAATTGGGTGTCAGTTAAGAGGACTGGGAAGTCTATGGGGCCTCTGGTAATGGATCAGTATTTATCTCTAGTGCACAAATAGACTTTGGGAGCCAATTCCACCTAGAGGGATACTCTCTTAGCCTAGACACATGGGGGAGGGCCTAGGCCCTGCTCCAAATGATGTGACAGACTTTGAAGATTCCCCCATGGAAGGCCTCACCCTCTCTGGGGAGCAGAAAGGGGATGAGATAGGGGGTCAGTGGGAGCTGGGATTGGCATGAGAACAAGCTTGCTTGTAATATAAATGAAAAAATTTAAAAAAAAGAAAGAAGGAAGGAAGATGGATGGATAAAGAAACATTAATTGCTTTAACATAAGTGGGTCCAAAAAATGAAAGAATATCTTTAGAAATAGTCATATATATTAAGTATGTTGTACCATTTCAGGAGCTCAGAATTCCCCTGAGCTTTTTCCATTACAGGTTAAGATCCATTGCCTGATGAGACAATAGTGAGCATCTGGCTGTTCTGAGAAATACTAGGCAACAGAGCCGGCAGAACACCCACTCACACACCTTTATCTCAGAGGGACCCGAGTTACTATCTCGGTTAGGCACTTGGTAGCTACACGGAAATGCCCCAGGCCTCTGTTCTCTGAGTCTTAATGTGGAGATTGTACCTGCATCCCCTTCAATGTTTTGTGACTCCATGAGCATGTACGTTATGCTGTAGTTCCAGGGCCTGGCATAGAACGCAGCCTCACGAACTGGCTGCTGCTGCTACTACTGACTCACTAAGAGCTGCAAGGGGATCAGGAGACCACTCCTCCACCCCGACTCTACACCACTCCCATGCTGCCTTACCTAAGCCACAGTCCTCAAAAGGAGCAAGGGACAGTCTTACCCCAAAAGCCTCATCAAGGAAAACTCTTTCGTTATAAGCAAAGACTGCAAGGCTGATGTCCAGGGCACTGAACTCCATGGTGGCCGTGAGGATGGGCTCTCTACTGGTTGGCTGGCCATTGCTGAAGAACACTGCAACTCTTCTGGCGTTGGCTCCAGAAGATGTCCGCTTGAAAACATTGCGGGCCACAAACCTCATCGCATTGCCAATGTCCCTGGCCTTCTGGGGGACTTGATATTTTATTTGGGAAAGAAGCTGAAGGAGCTGTTTCTTGCTCCGGTAGTCAGACCCACGGATGAGATAGCGTGTATCTGAGTCGTAGGAAACTACAACCACCCGTGCTCCTACAGGACAGTTATTCTCCCTGATGTTGAGGTCATTAACAATGGAAGTGATGATGTCTCTTGTTTCATTAAATCTCCTCTCTGTGATACCAGAGGACTGGTCCAGAGCAAATGTCACCTCTGTCGGATACACAGGACACTTTTCTATGGAAATGAAAAGCAAAAAAATATTAAAGGACTTCACTAAGTCACAGCTATTCCCTTGCCCTTTACATGAGTGAAGTTAGTTCAGAAAAGGTAAAGCCCAGGCTGAAGTGGCTGTGTCATACAGGGACCTAAGGACTCAGACATTCTTATACAGTTTAGGCCCTAACAAGACCATCCCTGGGCAGGGTAAGGTTTATACAGGGTAGCACTTAGTGAAATGACAGGCAGGTGGCGGTGGGAGGGGTGAGTCAGAGGGAGGGAGGGAGGGCACTGAACACATCAAAGAAGCCAGTGTTGATGGGGACAGTATAGATGAGTTACAGTCCCGATTCCTGATTCTCCAGTTCCTCCTGCCTCCCAGAAAGATGGGAGCTGCTCTGTAAAAACAGTGAGTAGAAAACTGTCATGGGCCCCAGACAGAACAACAGTGAGGGGTGGCATAGTCACTGTTGACACTCAGGTCAAAAACATGACACCGACAGGCACAGTCACCATTAAAAGAGAAAAGTCTGCATAGAAGGTGGAAGTCCTTTTTTCCTGGGGGAGGAGGGGCTATCTTCAAACTGGTCTTCAGCAGCTATGTCATCAAGAACAGTATGGTCAGAGCACTCACCTTTCCAACAGGCTGTTTAAAAAACAAAACAAGGAAAAAGAAGACAAAGAGAGTTGAATCAATTATGCTTTTGGAATATGGACCAAAAAAAATTAATCTAGACAATAGAATTCCAACCAAACTGACAATTTGGGTCCTCCCTTAAAATGAGGCTAATGGTTAGAATACCAGGGAGCTGTCCACGAAACAGTGTTGATTTGGGGGCATCTCTGAACATTTGCCCTTGTGTGCCAGAGCTGGCCGACTTCAGCAGAGTGGAAAGGCCGATGACTTGTCGTAGAAGGTGAATAGATGAGGCTCTGATTAAATTGCCAGATAGCTGAAATCCAATTTGCTTTGTGTCTTCTTAGAGCCTTCAGAGACTCATTGAGCCACACATGGCTAAAATATGGGGTCTGATTTTCTTTCCCAATGAATGCCTTGGGAACCTCTCTATTTGTAGAACCACGGGGGTGGGGGCTTTCCAATAAACTTTGTCTCTGATTAAAAATACAGCTATTTTTCACTTCCAGAGGTTTCCCCAAGGATTTCGGGCAGCATCTGGTCTCACTGTAAATCTAATGCACATCAAGGGAAATGCTGAAAAAAAATCTAAGAAACCACAGGCCTGACAGTTTCCATGTTTAGTTGACTCCCTTCTTCCTGGGAAGCAAATGAATCATTCCAATCTCTCTCTCTCTCTCTCTCTCTCTCTCTCTCTCTCTCTCTCTCTCTCTCTCTCTCTCTCTCTCTCTCTCTCAAGTTCATTAACACCAGTGACAAGCCAACTCCATAGCACATGAGCTCCAAGTGTTTGTTTCAATCCTGTGGTCATCAGACAGTGCATGTAGCCGACAGCCTCCTCCTTATCCTAACCCTAAAAACATCTTTCCATGTATTGACTTCAGACCTCTGAGACAGGCAAGTAGGGTGACTTGGGGGGGGGAAATCACTTCACCTTGCTTAGTGTGTTTTTTATTTTCCCAGAACTCTCCTTATATAGCTCCCCTCAAAGCGCTAACCACTTGCAGCTTCCTGTTGTGTTCTCAGTCATCACCCTGCCCCATATTCCTGGATTAATTTTCTTCTCACAGGAGAGTCCCAGCTACCAGTATAGAACTTGACCCCAGTGGCTGGGTAAAAGAGAGCTGGTGTAGGACAGGGGACCCACAGATGCAAGACCAGGCTCCGATCTCAACATAGCCTTGGTGCTGCCTTGTACCAAGCCACAAAGGCCCGAAACCCAACTTTTATCCCCATTCTTTGAGGGAGCTCCATGCTAACCCACTCTCTCTACCGGATTATGTGACCCATCTTCTCCAGCTAATTACTGGCTGGGAAAACTTCTTCTCCTTCCAAATCTCAACCTCTCCAGGGACTACCCCTCCTCTCACCCCAGGTCTCCCTGGGGAAGACATCTGGTCTTCCTGGGGAAGCTGGCAATGCCTAAGACAGACGGATCACTCACTTCCCTGTCACTGCTCCTCTCCTGTGCTGAAGAGACTTGGAGTTCTTGAGGTCATTTACACTAACCCTTCTCCCTGACCTACATGCATGCAGGCATGCATATGTGCAGGTACACCCACCCCTTACATGCAGAAACTTGCTGGGAGTGGGAGGTGGTGAGGGACATCCTGTGTCTTCCGTTTCCTCTCTACCTTATTCTTTGGGAATAAGTCTCTTGTTGAACCTGGAGCTCGTTTTTGTCTTATCAGGCTGGTAACCAGCAGCAAGTTCTTTGATCTTCTTTGTCTAACACCCTCGTTCCAGAGTTACAGATGTACAAAACTGTGGTGTGCCCATAACAGAGTGCCTAGCTATGCTTATGTGGATGCTGAGGACCCAAACTCGAGTCCTTGTGCTTTTACACAAGTGCTCTTAGCCATTGGTCCACCCCCCCCCAACACCTCTGTAGTGAGACATCCACCCTGCCTGTACCACTGACCATGCCCGTTTGGGCCTGGTCACAGGTGCAGACGTGATGGGGTGGGTTTCAGTCTAGGGTCTGGACAGGTGGCTCACTCTCTCGGATCTGGTCAGGTCGCTGAGAGCAGCCTGGGTGTAGATCCTTGGAGCAGGAACTTGTGGGTCATCGGCTTCTTGTGTAAGTGACTCCTCCCCAAATAAAATTTTAATAAACCTATATTATTAAACCGAGTCTCGTGTATCTTAATCCATGCATCAATATACCTCATATCTTCCTTGCTGTCAACTTCCTTTTATTAAAAGATTTGGGACTCCATTCTGTGTGACTTGACCCTTCTTCATTCTCAACTTCATGAGTTCATCTTTTCAACTCATGTCTATCTAGTTTCACAGCCTTGGGAGCATCATTCTCTCTGTGGTGTCAAGGACTACCCACACTTGAGTGACTCCAATATCTAAAAAGTTAAGTAGTTAACCAACTAAATCTACAGCCCATGGTCCATACCTTGAGTACTCTGCCCCCCATCATTTTGCTTAGAGTTGTCATACTATTAATGGAGCTGGTCTTATCTCTTATACACATGTTGTCTCTTCTTGTATGCATAACACCTTATGAGCCCAAGGTCTTATACTTTTCTTTCCATTTTTAATGAGAGATGTGCCCCCAGTCCCAAGGCAATCCTATTACAGAGGCTGCTTACCAGAGAGTTCAGCCTCCTGATTCCATAGACCCACTCTACACTCAGTCCCAAATGTTCTCACCAACCACTAAGGCTCTTGACCATAATGTCCAGATACTCACGACTGTGGTTCCGCAGGAACTGGATCAGATCACAGGGCTAGAAAGTTTAAAAGACAGAGAACAAATATGAGTATAGACACGAACATTCTAGTGGAGGAGTTTAGTTCCAATGAACTGGCAGTGGTTTTGTTTGTTTTCAAGAATAAAGAGATACATACCGAATACACAGGCTGCCCTGCTGTGCCTTTAGGACCCTAAGGGGAGAAAAGTTATTAGTTTGTGAAACACAGTTTTTAGTAAGAAATTTTTAAAAAATTTAAACACCTTTTCCTTTATTGGAAGTAGAAATGATAGGAGGTAGTTAAGCCCAGTAGGTCAATTACAGTTAACTTTTCCCATTCCTATCAAGAGTGTATATTATTTTTTATTTGTATCGAAGATGCAATCCTTAGAAGACATTTTTTAAAGGAGTCTTTTTTTAATTATGTTTCTTTTTTCTAATTATATGTAGCAGACTTTCTCCACAGGGTAGAACAAAGGAGATGGATGGGTTGAGCATGCAGAGGTAGATTATCTTACAAATCAAGACATTTAAAATGCAAATGACAGTAAGTCTCACTATTTGTGAAAGAACCAAAGGCAATTGCATAGCAAATGAGATTTTTTACAAAAGAAGAATATATATGCTAAGTTCATAAATGGCACAAGACTGAGGGACAAAGGAATATAAATAGCTAGGGAAGGGGTTTACTATGAGAGTGCATCTCTTTGTAATGTCAGAAGCTATACCCATGAAGTCTCACTAACACAACTGCTCAAGTATGACTGAAAGGTAGGCAACCAATTCCAAAGTGAATGGGAAAAGCCCATAAAGTCTCAACCCAACATAAAGAATTATAGACAATTAAGAAAGCTTGGAGTGGGAGAGGTAGTCCTCCCCAGGGAAAGAACACCAATTGGCTGTCTAGTGCTAAACAGTCAGCCCCCAAGACATGCATACAAGTAGCATTATACAGTCTGAACAGGTTATATTTAAATACGTGTGTGTGTGTGTGTGTGTGTGTGTGTGTGTGTGTGTGTGTATACACATATGTGTGTATATATTGCATGTATATGTATGGAATATATATAACAACATATATTATGAATACATATAAACTTATATGTGCAATTAATAATTAAGGAACATAGAGGTCATAATTTTGAAGGAGAATGAGGAGGAATATTTGGGAGGGTATAAAGGAAGGAGAAATGTAATTATACTAGGATCTCAGAAATAAAAATAAAGGAATAAGTAGCTAGATGAGATCAAGCAGAGATGGCTTCTGGAAAGACATCATTTCTGGTTTTCTTCCATTTGATTTTTTCCCCTTTGCTTCTCTTGCTTTTTCTTTCCAGGATCAGGATTCTCATTGGGCATGGTTTTTAATGTATTTGCTAGTATGTTCATTTCAGAAAGAAAAAAAAAAAAGCATTACATACTCAAACTCAAGCATTCCCTTGGGCACTTACTCCTCCAATAAGTTTAACCAAAAATGTCAGCATAGCCAACTTCTGTTCTAAATGACAACTGAGTTACTTGTCTGACCATCCATCACTTACCCATCATCAATCCATCTTCTATACATCACCCATGCATCATCCATCCATCATTTATCCATCATCTACCCATCACCCATCCATCTAACCATCTACCACCCATCTATCTAGCAATACATCTATTTAGCCGCCCAATAATAGTTAAATGTCTGCCAAATGCTGGGGTAGCCTGTGGTATTATTCTGATTTAACCAGAACTGTGTACTATCCATGATTCTACCCAGTGAAGAAACCACTAAGCGTCTAAGCGTCTTCGCTGCCTTTCAGGTTAGGACAGATAATGGGAAAGAATGCACAGTCACACAGAGAAACAGTTTCAGGGTAATAATATAGAGAATAGGAGCTACATTTTGCAGAAGGTCAGAAGAAGAAGAGTTTATTCTGAAAGAGTAACTCCAGGGGCTGGAGAGATGGCTCCGAGGTTAGGAGCACCTGCTGCTCTTGCAGAGGACCCAGGTTTAGATCCCAGCACCCATGCCCAGCTGTCTTTAACTCCAGTTCTGGAGTATCCAAGGCCTCTTCTGACCTCCACAGGCTGCTGTATGAACATGGTGCACAGACATACCCTCAGGCAGGCAGGCAGATAGACAGACAGACAGACAGAACCACAAGACAAAGACCACACCCCAATTCAGACCAGTTGAACCAAGCACAAGACAGGCGATGTTGGATACCTTCATTACAGCCTTAGGACCTGGAAAAGAGATGAGCCCAGAGTAGAGATGACTGAGCCATAGACTAGCTTTTCTCCCACATCTGTGATACTTATAGTGGAGTATCCTTTACAAATAATTACTTTATTCTACTATGGAATAATTTGGCCAATAAACCATGTGCAAGTTTTGCTTTGCTAGATCTCAAGTTCAAGAATTCTTCAGTGCCTAAAACAAGATAAGTGTTTCATGCACTCTTTACAGTGTTATCTGGGTCTCCCCCATGTACCAGGTGCTGGCTGTATTTAGCTCTGCCCTGACTCTGCTGGGGAGGAGAGAGACACTGAGTCATCAACCACGTGACAAGCAGGGAAACAGATGCAGGTCTGAGTGGGGAAGCATGCCTGGCTCTGCCTGGAGATGCTTCCAAAGAAGACATTTCTCTTGTAATGGAACCAGTGTGGTTACATTTCCAAATCTTTCTAGACTCCAAATAAAGACTAAAAGGGCAACAATAAGTGGTTCTGGAAAACTCTATTTGCCAACCTGCCTTGCATGCTGGAGCTCTGTCAAGAGACCTCTATGAAACGTAGGCAAGCCCATCCATATTACAAAGGCTTCAGTGATCAATCACAGCAACAGTGTTTGCCCTCAGCTGCCTGATCCCCACAACTACCTTTATGGCTAGGGCAGCGATGTGTCATCTTCATCTTAATATTAGACTGAGAGACACAGCGACTGGCTTCTCAAACCCAGTGCTTTTGTCTTGAATTCTGCATCCTTTCCATTAGGTATACCAGAAACCACCACATATCGGTCAGTTCCCACATATACTCACTCTCCGTCCGGGAGGGCCTTGAGAGCCTGGTAGTCCAGTCTCACCTTTCAAGCCTTGAGAGAGCTGAAAACAGGAACACAGAAGTAGAAGTTTAGTTTCTACATTTTCTGTCCATGGAGACTGCCTCCAGTTTAAATGTTATTTTGTTTTATTATGTGTGTCAGTGTTTTGCCTGTATCTGTAGAAGGAGACAGTGTACATGCAGCGCCCACAGAGGCAAGATGACATTGGATCCCCTAGAACTGGAGTTACAGGTGGTTGTGAGCTATACACTAAGTGCTTAAGAACAGCTGGACTGAAGCATGTATGTCCGTCTCAGAGAGCTTTCCTAGAATGTATGAGTTCCATCCTCAGCATCATAAATAAGAATGATGATAATGAATAAAATTTAAAAATAAAAGGTAGAATCTTATTCAACCAGGTAAATTCCTCGCTCATAGTACAAGTTGACAACTCTTAACCATTGGTGAAACACCCATTTCTGTCTTGTACCATTTATTTAGTGGCATACAGTGCTCAGACACTGGCTCTAAAATTAAATTTAAAGTAGTCATAAGCTGGGACTTGTACTAACAAAAAAAGGCACACAAAGTTTGTGCAAAAATCTTCATCTATAAAGATCAAATAATACGGGCTGGAGAGATGACTCTGAGGCTAAGAGCACTTGCTGTTCCATTCCTGGCACCAACATGGTATCTCACAACTATCTGTAACTCTAATTCCAAAGGATCCAATGCCCTCTTTGGACCTCCAAGGGCACCAGGCACATATATGGTACACATGCACACATGCGAACAAACACTCATACACATTAAATAAATAAATAAATAGGTGTGTTTGTTTTGTCCCATTCCAATGTGTTTGCTTTTGTTGCATTATATTACATTATATCTATTATATTCCCTTAGAAGCTTGTTTGTTTTCTAATGGCAGACAGAAAGAGGGTGGATATGGATGGAGAGGATATGGGAAAGAATTGAGAGAAGTAGAGGGAGAGGAAACTGTAATCAGGATATATTATATGAAAAAAAACTATTTTAATAAAATAAAAAATAAGTATTTTAAAATCCACATATAAGATGGTACATGAGTGGACAATGTTTATTCCCCAAAATCAAAGGAGAGATAGTAGAAAACTATATGCAGGCAAACCCAAGGGCCTGTTGAACTATATCTCTTCCACACCCAGAGTGACAGTGACATTGCACTCAGACTTCAAAATAAAAGGGTGCTAATCTCAGCCATGTGTACCTAAGAAAGCACAATCTTCTGCTCTGCGTTACTAATCAGAACACTTCAGTATCCCCCCCCCCTTAAAACCATACTCCATCCAGTCACCTTGTGGATAATGGCACCATCAGGCAGCCCCCTGGGACATATGGAAAACATCAGATTCAGTTCCAAAAGACTGCAAGGCACTGGTATTTCTCCAACAACCAATCACCAGTGTGTAAATCTTAAAACTCACGGAACCATAGAATTGCAGAGCCAGAAATGACAGTGTATGTCACTAGGTTCAGTTCTAATATTCTAGAAATAGAGGCCCTAAGGTGTGCCAAAGGTCACTGACTAGCTAGTGACTTTTAAAATACCCTTGGAATGATTCAACAATCCACGTTACTATCACAGTAAGAAAACTGAGGTCTACCACAAATAAATATGTATTCTTTCTAGAATCATGAACCACTTACAGTCAATCCCTTGAATCCTTTGGGTCCAAGTCCCCCAGGAATTCCAGGGTCTCCAGCATCACCCTGATTCATATAGATCAAGATATTAAAATGTTTGCTATGAAAAAGTGGAAAACTTCTCTCCAATCAATACTTAAACCGATCTTGTAACCATCCTGTAATGAAGGCTAACACAGCAATAAATGCATCTTGACATGAACTCAGAACTAAATGATTATCACAGTTACATATTCTTAAAACTATTTCAATAATCTAATAATCCAAGTATCAATACATAAACATCAATTCGATAACCACCCAGTTGCTAAAAACAACCAGAGAATATACTAGAAAACATGAAATGCTGACTACCTAAAGTATTAAAGAATGACTTTCTAGTTCTATGAGTTATCTAGAAAAGTTGAAGATTATATATATATATATGTATATATGTATACATATATATATATGCTGTTTGTATGTATGCATGCATACATACATAATCTTGGGGTAAGGAAATGTTCCAAGTGGTAAAAATGCTAGTGGCACAAGATTGAGGACCTGAGCTCAATTGCCTAGCATCCATGTGAAAAAGCCAGATGTAGTCGCATGCATCTGTAATGCTACCACTCCTGTGGAAACATCCCTCCCTCTGCAAATTGCTAAAATTTTTAAGTTCAAGATTTAAAAGTTGTAACAGTGTGCACAAGACCCGCTCAAACTCAGGCCAGGATAGAACCCCAGCATGGAGTAGAAGGGAGAGTAGTCAGGAAGTTCCACCCCTAGCTAAGGAGCTGTTGGTAATCGATAGCCTTTGAGAGATGGAGAGACAATTTTCTCTAAGAGTGTCACTGGAGGTGGGTTGACCCTGCCCCAGTGGAAGGACACATATCTAAGAGTATAAGGACAGTGTAGGATGTACTTGATGGGATTTTTAAGTGGGAGAGGAGGGCAAAGTTTGGTGGGTACGAAAGAGGAATGGATCTGAAAGAAACTGGAGGAGGAGTAAATATTACCAAGATATACTGGAGAAAAAAAAAACCTCAAACAACCAATGAAAAGGAAGGAAAAAAGAAAATAAGATGTAAAAATAAATTAAAAACCATGAAGGTTCATTTAAAGAAATTCAATCTGACTTTGGTAGTAGTTATTTATTAATATGTTCATTTCGCATCGATCAGTAAGTTGTTACATTCTCCCTTTGTCAATAAATCAGAAAATTGATCATCTGTAAAGAGAACTCTTTTTCTGAGAGTTGTTTATGTAAACTCTTCCTAAACTTGTGTCTGCTTCAGGGAGCCCATCGGCGAAGAGCACTTTTCAGATGTTCTGAAACTTGCCTGTTCTCCTGCGGTTGGTCCATTAGATATTCTACTTTAGACCCAGACTTCTCATCCTGACTGGGGTCTTACAGGGACAGAAGCGGTCTGGAGTTTGGGAATTCATAGTGCAGAACCCTAGAGTCCACAGATGTAATGGGGGCGGCTCCTGCTGATATTATAGTCATGTCTGGCTCTACAGCATGCAAGACAGATTATCTAACAGACAATGAGTAATTTGGAAGATATGAAATCAAGAAGACAGTATAATTAGATTACACTTTGGAGGTACAAATTTAGTGAACATGATATTTGGGTCAACTGACAGAGACAAGATGGAAATAGGGGGCCAGGGAGGATTCTCAGGCAAGAGGACTCAAAAGTCAAACCAATGACTCATCTCAGTTCTCAAGAAGAAATTCTTATATGCCTCACCTTCTGCCCGGGATCCCCAGGGAATCCTGTTGGGCCCTGTAATTTTCAGCAGAGAACATATGTAAGTCAACAGACCAATTCTCCATATATCCAGGTTTAATTTATTGATTGTGAAAATAATTGTCTTGCATATTTACCTTAACTCCTTTTCGTCCCATCTGGCCATAGCCTGGGATGCCATGCTCTCCCTGTAAACACATCAGTTACTTTCAGTTTCTCCAAAGCTGTCTCAATGGGGAGACTGTGGTATTAGGAAATATGAGCTCTGGATGGGGGGGGGAGGATGGGGGGAGGATCTCACTTCTGGTTTTCTTCCCCCCCCCAGGCATTGAACCCAGAACCTCATGTATGTTAGGCAAAGATCCTACCAGTGAGCTACAGGCCCAGCCCCTCACTTCCTGCTGTGTACCCTCCTACTTCTTTGACCAGCTCCACTCTACAATCACTGCAGAAGGCAGAAGGGCGGTCACTCTGAATTTGTCCATTTGCCAGTTTCTTACTTGGAAAATTAGGAGTTGATCCACAAAAAAAAAATTACTGATGAATTTAACCGAAGACTTAAAAATGGGGGTTGGAGAAACAGCTCGGCGGTAAGAGCACTGGCTGTTCTTGCACAGGACGGGATTCTATACCCAGCACTCGTAGGTGGCTCACAACCATCTTTAACTCCAGTTCCAGGGATCTGATGCCGTCTGGCCTCCACAGGCACCAGGCATGCGCGTGGTGCACAGTCATATATGCAGGCATGCATACTAACACATAAAATTAAAATAAATCCTTTTAAAAAGAATTGTAAACGACCAATAAATGTTGTCGTGGACTCCATGGCAACCACTGCTGCTTGACCAAGTTCCAGCGTTTTGACATTGTGCACCACGATTCTCCAGGATCCCTTTACTTTCATTTTTAACGGTTCTCTCTATGTGCTGTGGAGTTGTCTTCAAAGTAATTATTTTGGAACTACTGGAGTATCGTTGAGAGAACACAATGGCTGGGAATGAGTTGCTGGCAGGAGGGGAGACAGAGATGCACTTTCTTTTTCTCTTTGCTTTGTCTAGGATGTTAAGGGTGAGTATTTCAAAACGGGTTAATATTTCTATCGCTTCCCATTTTCATGCCTATGAAACTTAAATTTTCCCTTTTTCTCTTGTTAATCCCACCAATGAAGAATAAGACCACTGCCACAGTTTAAAGGAAATTGGAAGCTAGCTTTAATTAAATACTGGCTAGGTGGATAGACTTTGGCCAGGGGGGGAAATAAATGGCCCCTAATCAAGTTTTGCAGAAATTTAAAAAGGGAAATCATAATTCACTGCATTTCCTTTTAGGTCCAATCAGAGGCAAGCAAATATCCTGACTAATATCCTGGCTAGGTACCTCCCGCCAACATGTGATGGAGTATAGGGTGCAAATGGATCAAACAAACTTGTTTAGAGGAGTAAAAACACAAAGCTTGTTATCTCCCATAAACCATAGCCTCCAGCACTTCAGGAACAATCTGTCCTTGGGCAAAGTGCTTGCAGATCAGAAACATTTTTTTTAATGTCATGGATCTTTATGACACAGTGATCAAAACTTAAAATGTAACTTTGGCACTCACACTGTCTCTATTTTTGAATATTTGTGTTTTCAAACTGAATCCCCAAAAGAAGGGCACTTTTTATTTTGAAATGGGGGTCTCTCGTAGTCCAGCATTTTACTTTGTTTCTGAGTACAACTTTTTACGTTTCATATGTGAGATTATGTGCTCTGGTGTTTGCCTTGTTATGCCTGCCTTCTTTTGGTTTCTTTAATCATATTTTTAGATTTTTAAAAATGTTTTTTGCCTGCCTTATTTTTGTTTATGTACCATCCTTCAGGTTCAACCATGTTGTCACATATAGCAGGATTTCCTCCTTATTTTTAAACCTGAATAATATTCATCACATAGATATGCCACAGCGTTTTTAATCTATCCATTCATCCAGAGATGGGCACTTCATCACATAGATATGCCACAGCGTTTTTAATCTATCCATTCATCCACAGATGGGCACTGGGTTGATTCCATCTTAGCTATACTTGGCAAATTTTCTACTATTTAATAACCACATATAATTTAATGACTAACATAAAATAACTCTCCTTCTATTGGCTGTTCTGCTGCTAAGATTTTGGTTCAGTAGAGCAACTAGGCCTGAGTGCAAGCCTTAAAAAGCAGTGGCCTGTGTCTTGACCCCATTCCTCTGCTTCTTGTCACTCTAGGGTTTTACAGGGGAGAAAGATAAGCTGTTTTGTTTTGTTTTGTTTTGTTTTTTCAACCAAAATGTATGTGCATGGCCTCTCTGGTTGTTAAAATACTAAAATGCCCAGCTCTCAGTCACCTCCTACTTTCTCTGCCTACAGCTCATCTCCTCCATCCTGCCCCCCACCTCCCTACCCCCCTACACACACACACACACACACACACACACACACACACACACACACACACACACACACACACACGACAAAAAGGCCAGGCACACAGCAAAGCAGCCACGGGTGGAGAACTGCCTCATGCCTTCCTACCCCAGGTACTGAACCCCATGCAGCCCCCCATTTCCTCTTGCTGCCCTTTTCCCCTTGCCTTAGAACCAAGTATGCAAAGCCTCATACCTGGTTTCCTCGATGTCCAGGGGGCCCTACTGGTCCTGGGTCTCCAGGAACTCCAGGTTCTCCCTAGGAAAAGAGGTAAGAACACATTTGGGTCAGCAAAGGCAAACCTTCCACATGCAGTTCTGTCCCCTGAAGGAGGGGACACAAGGTCTTCAGTGAGCAGCCAGCACTCAGTAGGGCTAGAATAAAATACACAATACAGTCTACCCAGAGGGTAGCAGAACATACCCCGCAGAGCTCAGGGCTAGGCTCTGAGGACTTTTTAAGGCTGTAGTTTTCCAGTGTGTTTCCTGCTTTCCTAGTGTCAACAGACTGAAGCAAAAGGAAGAGTAGAAAGTTCACTCTAGGAAAACGGACTCGTTTGCTAATGTATTTACTCACACAATATATGCTTATTGCTCTGGAAAATGAAGGACTGATATGATCAATGTAGTCCTGCCCCCACTAAGCACAGTGTGGTTAGGGAAAGAAAGAAGGAGGTGGACAGTTAGAACTCCATGTGTTGAAGCTGGGCTGCTTTGAGAGCAGGGAAGAGACTTGAGGGTCCAGGGAGGCGACCAATGAGAGACAAAGAAGCTGGGCACAAAGGACTCTGTGTGGACTGAGGAAGGAGCAGTCAAGCCGAAGAGTGACCCCAGGAGAGGAGAGAGGTTGGCTCTGGAAAAGCAGATGGTGTGTGTGGGGGGGGGGGGGGTTTGGGGAACTGAGTTGAGAAACCTTGAAATTAAACAGGGAGCTTCTCTTCCACCCCAACCCCAGGGTTGACGGCCAAATAACACTGTAAGTAAGCTGAAGGTGTACAACATGATAGCATGTGTGCATGCATGCACACAGACACACACAGATATACACATGTATAGAAATGACTGCCACAGCCACGTTAACTAACACATCTCACACTACCACTTGTTAATACTCTTCCATTTGGGTTTGAAGTTTTTTCTTGTTGATGTCTGTGTATGTTCAGAACTGTGTATGCACACATGTGTTCATGTGTGTGAGGGCAGAGGTCAACATCAAGTACCTTCTCAGTTTCTTTCCACTTTATTTTGTGAAACAGAGTCTTGTAGAGCCAGGAGATCACCAATTCAGCTAGACTGGCTGGGTAGCACCTCGGTGCCCAGATTTCTATGTGGTTCTAGAGGATCAGACTCAGGTCCCCATGTTGTACAGCAAGCCCTTTACCAACTGAGCTACTGCTCCAGCCCTGTCTTGTTAGCAGTTAAACTTGAGATCTGCCCAATGGGAAAATGTCAGTGTAGTTTTCTGGACTCTGTAGAAAAAGAAACCTTAGGTCCTTGGCTCAAATATGAAAGAGTTTTGAGGCCTTGACAAGAGAGCAACAAACCCAGCAGGCCTCCTCTGTAGCCACACAGACCCCAGAGCCTGAGGAATGAAAGCAGAGGGTCAGGTTGACATGAGGACAGTAGTTGACTCTGTCCGTCTCCACCACAGCTACCTTAGCCATGGCGGGCCTGACACAAAAACTGAGTTCAGATCCATTCATTCAGCTCAGTCAACAAATGTACTCCTGCTCAGGGAATATGGAGCTGGGAAGATTCTCAGTAGTGTTCTGGGATGGGCAGGTAACTCTCCTTGTAATCGGGATAGCTTCCTAGACAGAGGTAGACAGTAAGGAATTCTCTGCTCAGTGGATGGGAGAGAACACATTCCCAGCATGCAAGTGGTTGAGCATGGTGCTTGGGTTGAGTCATGTGAGGGATTTCCACACAGCTCTGGAGAAAATGTAGCTGCTCTTGTCCCCAGTATTTGAAACCAATGAGAAATAATGTTTACCTTTCTCCCCCAAAACCCAGGTCTTCCAATACTCCCTCTAGATCCTGCTGGCCCAGGAGAACCCTGAAAACAAAGAAAAAGAGATGCAAAAGGCACCACCCCTGCAGCAATTCCTGGAAACCTTGTAGGAACGTGGCACTTAATTTACATCATCCCAACAGTCCCAGAAGCCTCCTTAACAGAAAAGGCAGTGAGCCAGGGGAGAGAGTAAGCAATGGGCCTCAGCTCTGCATCTGCCAGGAATTCACTGCTCCATGTGAGACCTTGGCGGGGGTGAGGGGGTGGTGGTGGATCTAAAAGCTTCCTTGACTCAGTCAGCCTTCTTTCCAAGTGAGGGGAAATTCCCTGCAACACATCTCTGCCATGTGCACATACCACAGAACTATGGACACATCTATCATGGAGTGCAGGGCATATTTCAATGTCTCAATCTAAAACTACGGGGCATGAGATCCTTCACCAACCCATTAGGACGATATAACTGAGCATAGTCGAGCATCCCCTGCCTTCTGAGCTCTCACTGGCAGAAGTGAAGGACCCAATAGAATCAAGTGCTTCATACAAACCCCCCACCATCCAAACTCCCGTTCCTCACTTGGGAAACTCATTCAAATGTTGAATGTGAAAACCAGGCTTAAGAATCAAACAGGACTGTGTAAGCCCAGATCTTTGTACAGTCAAATGCCTGTGGTCCATGGAGAGACAGATGCATGCATAGAAAAACTTAAAAGTACAAGAACAATTCATTCAGAGTGGAAATGCTCTTTTTTAGTCTTCCAAATGCTTTCTTAAGCTGAGGGAGTGAGCGTGTGCTTTCAGAGTAAAAGAAAAGAAATCACCAAAGGAGGAGGAGGAATGAACCATCGAGGTATAAAGGACCATAAAGGACTTGAGCTGGGCTAAAAATGTATCTGTCGTAACTCAAAAAATGAAATAAACGTTCATATAATGACATGAAATGCACAACATATGAAGGACTTTTGAAATAAGAGAAACTAAAAGTCAGGAGTCATTGACCCTAAAGTCTCCAAGTCACTCACCTGAGGACCCTGATACCCTTGACTTCCTTCTTCTCCTTTCCCGCCGCGATTTCCACTGGACCCCTTTTTGTGATAACAACAACAACAAATACAATGTGTGTGATGTCAATGAAACTCAGCCTCTTAGTAGATGCTTTTGAAACACCCCCTGTGGAGATAGAGCAATGGTCTACCCTCCCAGCAGCCTTCCTGATGTGAGATACATCTTTTTTAGAAGAATAACTGGGGATGGTCCCAGACACAGTGGCATAGATCTTATTAAGGGATTCCCCACCTGGACATAAGAGTCTCATCCTTCTTTTACAGGGAGAGATAAAAATAGATCAAAAGGGAAATAAATAAACCCATGGAGATACAAACAACCATCAGATATATCTGTGTGATGTCTCTCTGGACCGACATGCTTTCTCAATGTGTAAAATACAGGAATCAGTTGGTCCAAGTTGGCACTGAAGAGCAAAGGGTAGTGGTCATCTGCCAGCCAAAGGGAAGTTTCTCTCTCTGCCGTGTTTCATGTATAGGACTCACACAGTTCTCTTGCATGGCTGGGGAGACTAGAAGTCACCGAATGACTCTCAAGCCACTAGTGTCAAAGGATCCCAGAGCATCTGTAGTGACTGCCATCCCACACCCAGCCAAAAACATCTGGACAAGTCTAGATTGTTTCCCAGAATACCCAACCTGTAGAATGTACTGGGCCACAGAAATACTCATGAGAATCTAAATTAGTTTACTTTTAACCTCAGACTTTCTGAGGAAAAAAAAAAAAAAAAAAAGAGGTTCCTGAAAAGCCTTAAAAACAGGCATTTCTACACAGACTCTTTCAGATGAGCCCAGGTTTAAAATGAGCTCAATACAGAGTGGGATCCATGGTGACTCAACACACAGGTGTGGCAAAGCCATCCTCAAGGAGTGATGTGACTTCAGCAACCCAGTGTGCAATAATAATAATAATAATAATAATAATAATAAATCTGTTAATTACCCATTCTTACCAATACCTAGGCACAATGCAAGGTGAACACAGAGCATATTTTTTTGCCTCTCTAGACTCATTGATGAGCTGCACATGTTAGAGCAAATTTGGTGGAACAAAATAAAAAATTAACCAGTTGAATATACTTTTCAATTTTTATTATTTATTTTAAGTATGTGTGTCTGTGCACATGAGTGCAGGTGCTCAGGGAGGCCAGAAGAGGGCGTAAGATCCCCTGGAACTGCTGTCACAGGCTGTTGTGAATCATTCCACCTGGGTACTGAACATTTAAAGTCCAGTCTTTAGCAGAGTATTACATGCTCTTAACCACAGAGCCATCTTTCTAGCCCCTCTGTTGTGTGATTTTATAATGAGCTACCTGTCTTCTTCCCACCAGAACGGCTCCACGCCATTTTCCCATATTTATGAAATACCCAGCATACCTGTGGGCCTTGCAGTCCTTCTAGTCCCTGGGTACCTTGAGGCCCCGGGTTTCCAGCTTCCCCCTAAGGAAAAAAGAGTTTTCAGTGTTAAGATTTTCTCTGCATGGTTCCCAGGTATATCATTTGGTTCATCTGCCTTTCTACTGCCTGGGATCTTATTTTTCCAACTGTCATGAGTGAACGCAAGTATGTTTTTAATTTTCATAAAGATGGGAATGGGAAGGACAATTGACTCAAATAAACTATGGTGGTTTAGATGAAAATGGCCCACATATGCTCATGTATTTCAGTGTTTGGTTCCCACGTGATGGAACTATTTTGGAAGGATCAGGAGGTGTGGCCTTGTTGGAAGAAGTATGTCACTGGGGGTGGGCTTTGAGGTTTCTAGAGCTCACACCAGGCCCAGTGGCATTCTCTCTCAGCCTGGGGCCTTCGGATCAGGATGAAGCTCCTAGCTACTGCTCCAATGCCATGCTCCCTGCCACAATGGTCATGTGCTAACCTCCAGAAATGGTAAGCAAGACTCCAATTAAGTGATTTCTTTTATAAGCTACCTTGGTTATGGTGTTTCTTCACAGCAATAGAACAGTAACTAAGACACAAATTTTCTTTGAAAATGCCATAAATGATACCAAATACCTGCATGATAATTAGAAACAAGTTTTAAAAAAGAAAAACATGGAAGGAATGCCAGCAATATATAGCTAATAATAATTTGGATAGAAGCAGTAGCAAGAATTTCACTTTCTTGCACGCTGCTTCCCAATACATGTGACACTGAGTCAAGGGTGTGACATTTGGGATTGCCTGTGTTCTCCTTGTTTGTCGGGAGGTTTTTTTTTTTGTTTGTTTGTTTTGTTTTTTTCTTGAGGGAGGCTTTGCCTTAGTGAGGCCTGTCCCATTTCAGGAAGGTGACTGGATAACTGCTTGTGCTTCCCACTCATTAGTGGTTCATGGCCATGGCTGGACATCCCTAGAACACCCTGTCAAATGCTATTTGCCCAGCCCCGTGTACACAGAAGAAATGCCCTCAGACCCCTACCACAGAGGACAGGAAGTAAAGAAAACTTACCGAGGGACCAGGGGGTCCCCTCCGGCCTTCCATTCCCTGAAACACCAAAAGCAAGGAAGGTATCAGTCAATATCCAGACAGGGCGTCCTTGAGGCAAACCAGCCCTTCCCAGTCCCCATTCATAGAGGGGTTTCCTGGGAGCCTCGGCAGGGCAGGTTTCACATTGGCTATTTAATTGCACATTAACATTTAGGGAACCAATGGCAACCCAATGTAAAAGTCACTGTAACCTTGCCGCAGTCTAACAGCCTCTGAAAGTTATTGAGGGGGCTATTTGGAGGTCTGGGTCACCCCGAAGAAATTGTTTTCACTCCCTGCAATCCCACAATTGCGGGGGGGGGGGGGCATCGTCACTCGGGCCCCATTTAGTCTGGCTCCGGAGGATTCCTCAGGTAGAAAATGGCTGCTGCTCGCTGCTCCTTTGTGTGGTCTAGATGCTACTAATTAGGTTTATCACAAAAAGCAAGGCTGGCTCTCAAATCTATACTCTCTGGGAGGGAGCTCATGTCACATGTCTATGGGGACAGAGAAGGGCCAAGAGGGACAACGCCTCAGGCCCCCAGATCCTAACTTATTTTCCCCAATCTGCCGCAATAAAATCTGCTTACATCCCCTCTCACTGCGATGGCTACAGAACATTCTCAACCACCAATCCACACGTAATGTGATAACCAACTATGATTATTTTAAGCAGTTGCATGTATTCATTTACTGTGTAAGAATGATTTCAGAACTGCTGTTTTCTCTCAGTTTCCCACCTCCCCAGGATAAATCATCCAACCAAATGTCAGCTCCACTGGGTATTAGACTTTTAAAATAACCCTCTGGGAGAAGTTACTCAGTAACTCGTCAGCTGTTTGGCTATGACTAGTTGATGTTCTTGACATAGGAAAATAGAGGGGATAAAAAGTCAGTGAAGGTGGAGGATACTGTTGCCACGACTTCACAGACTGTCTCCATGAAAAAGCCAGGACAGGAGCTGGAGAGGTGCCCCCCCCCAGCTGAGTGTGTGCTGCTCTTGCAGATGGTTCACAGCTACCTGTAAATGGCCAGTGCGCACACACATACACACACACACACACACACACACACACACACACACACACACACACGCATACATGCTCACACAAATGGAAAATAAAAAAGAAAGCAAGGATGAACTGGTCACAGTGGTACAAGCCTATAATCACATCATTTGAGAGGCCAAGGCACAAAGACCTTGAGTTCAAGACCAGCCTGGTCAACATAGTAAGTTCAATGCCAGCCTGATCTACAGGATAAGAGAGACCCTGTGTCAAAAAGAAGAAGAGGTGGTTAGAGAAGGCAGGCCGGAAGGAATAATAATGCTCATCCTGTATAGTAGCTTTGCACAACATCGGCCTTACAGGCAGGGCCTTGTCTTTGGTTCCATGGCTTTGTGTGTAGGCGGCACAGAGTAATTGCACAATAAACCTCACACCGTGGTTAAGAGCATAGACTCTGAAGTGAGGTGGTCTAAGCTCAAACCCCAGCCACTTACTATCTATTGTGACTTAGGGCAAGTTACCCAAGCCACCTTGATTTACTTATGTATAGTGTGAATATAATGATAATAATCCACCCAGCCAGCTTCTTTAAACGAGTATTTGAAAGTGATTAGATCAGGACCTGGTACAAAATGGGTGATATATTAGAAATGCAAGTGTTATAAGGACTATTTGCAAGTGGCCACCAAAATGTGACCTGAACTGTGACCTCCTGTGTGGTTGTCAGTGTGTTGAGCCATTGTTTTAGTAACAGCTGGTGTGATGATTAATTTCTGCAGGCTGAAGTTTAGTCACACGGGGAGCCCATGCCTGGGTTTGAGCTGTGCTGTTTACAATCCATTATCCACTTAAGATGCTCTGAGTCTCATGACAAAATTCTGGCCTATGTTGGAAATGTCGGGGAGAGGGTAAAAAAGCCCCAGATTGCTTGAACATGACTATGAACATGAATGTGAATGTTGCCTTATTTAATTCCAAAGAAAAGTTAGTAAGCTGGAAAATGGGTAAAAGGTGGGGAAGGGGCTGAGGTCCTTCTGTCCTTATTTAAAAGTCACTGACTAGTGTGTCCAAGGAGTAATCCCAGCTCTGCTCCCCAACATCTGTTTTTAAAGTGCATGATTTATGTGTCAGTTATAAACTGATTTCAAACTAAAATCCCTTTTCTCCCAAGCCAACAGATATTTATCTCTAAACTGTGCAACACTTAGCCCTTCTCACTGCTCTGCTGCTTCCCCCAATTACATCTTGATCCTCTTGAGCTGGGAAGGCAGGGTCCCAGGGAATGGTCCCAGAAGCATGAGAAGCCCAGCCCCTCTGGCTTGGGAGCTTTGCCTTTCAGGATAAACAAAGGCAAGATGGGCTCAAAAGCAACCTCCCAGGGAAAAGGGCGGCAGACTGCTGCCTTCAAGGGATGAGAACAATCCAACACCCGGAAAACAAAGCCAAGGGTTTTCATTCCCCCTGAGCGAGTTAGGGCCAAGTCCAGGGTTCTCAGCAGTCTTCTGTTATCACATTCCTGTTGAGTATGAAATGGAGCTTTTAATACAAATGTCCTCTCTAGCCAGGTGTGATGGACACAGCTGCAATCTCAGCACACGGAGGGCAGTGGGGGGGGGGGGAGGATTTCCTGTCAGTTTAAGGCCAGCCTGGTCTACGTAGTGACTTCTAGGCCAGCTGGGGGAACATAGAGGTCTCTTCCCCCAGAAAAGTAAATAACCATAATCTCTAACTTCAGTAATTCACGAAAAGTGATGTGGTTTCTTGGTTGGTCCTTAAAAACTGAAGGAAATCAAGTAGGGTTTTTTTTTTGGGGGGGGGAGGTAGGCTTCATATCACATGACACTATAAGCTACCATAGGGCCTCCAGACTGCCAATAAGTTGGCTCTAGTAGTCAGTGCTTGGGAGTCCATTCTGGAAGAAGCCATTTCTGCCCCCTCCCCTTTGTCAATGTGTAAAGAACATGAGATTCCATCTATCTACCCAGTCCATGATGTTCTGACATAACTCCCCGATGCTAAGTTAGGAGAGAAGAGTGCTTGTGTTCAAGCCATTGGCTCTCTTTAAAGGCATTCAAAACACCTTGAAGGTAGAAAGGCAAGGGCAGATTGCAGCACAGTGTTTCTCAGCCAGGGATGACTTTTGCCTCCCAGGCCAACCTGCTATAGACATTTTTGGATGTCACAAATGGGTAGGCAGAAAGGCAGAGTCTGGGGTTGTTGTCAAGCATCTTATGAGGTACAGGACATGCCTTCATAAGAAAGACTTCTCAGGTCCCAAAAGGTCAGCAGTGCCAAGATTCAGAATGCACCAGCCATGGGTGTGCTACCTCAGCAGCCATGGATGATCACCATGGTTCTGTGTCCATCACAAGGGATAAGGAAGGAGACAAGTGTCTGAGAGATACTTACCCTGCTCCCTCTGGGGCTAGAACTGCCTTGTGTCCCCTTCTGCCCAGTTCTCCCCTAGAAACACAATAATTTCCCAAAACCATAAGTCAAAAGTAGGTTATAAGTCCTGAGTACGTAATAAAGCCATCAACACAAAACATCAAATGCCATCAAGACAGCAGAATCAGGGAGTCATGCTGGAGTCATTCTGTATCGTGACATTGTTGATAAGATGAGCACATGAGGACAGGGCTATCAACCAGGACAGGGTTAGCAAGGTGCCATAAGCAAATGATGACTAATGACATATATTACCATGTTCTCAAAAATTAATAATGCCCCCAAAAGTATGGCCTACTTCAGATATGCCTTATTCTCTTTTAACTATAGATGATTTGGAGGGCGTTTGCTCATATACCATGTTAAACGTATTTAGCTCAAAAATGGAATTAGTCAACTTATCTATGTAACATAGACCCAATTACTTGTCTTCCTCGGTCTCCTTTGATGCCCTTCTGGCCTTTGGTGGTGCTGTCTCGTCCTGGGTTACCCTAGGAGATGATTTCAGAAATGTTTTAGAACCCAGAAGCATCAGAGTGAGGGAGCTCATTCATCGGTTCGGACACTGAGCTTTGCTATAGCGCCCAGGCTGGCTTTGACCTTGTGACCCACTGGCCTCAGCCTTCTGAGTTCTAGGATGACAAGTGTGTGCCCCATTCCGTTTTCTTTTTCTTTTCCTTCCCTGTGTGGTATTTGGGGTTAAACCTAGGGCTTTGAGCATCTCAGGAACATCTCTTATCACTGGGAGATTTTTTAAGATGGGTCTCATGAAGTTTCTCAGGTGGCCTGAGACTCTATTTCAGCAACCTGAGTAACTGGAATTACAGGCCTGTGCCACCAGGCTCTCTCTCTCTCTCTCTCTCTCTCTGTGTGTGTGTGTGTGTGATGGTATAATATTTAAGTGCTAGGCTTCAGCAGTTATCAACTTGTGGGTTGGCACACTTCTATCTCCAAAAATACTTACATTACAATTCATACCAGTAGCAAAATTACAGTTATGAAGCAGCAACGGAAATAATTTTATGCCTGGAGGGGTCACTACAACATGAGGAACTATATTAAAGCATCACAGCATTAGGAAGATTGAGAACCACTGGGCTAATTCAAGCTAAGAGATGGAGTATACGGGGAATCTCCAACTTGAAGCTCTTAAAAGGAACATTTGCCCCAGTTTGAATGCAATTTGATAGCTGAAGCAGTTTTCTGAGAGCACTGGCCACGCAGTAACATTCCCTGCAGTGGCTTTGCAAAGGCACTGGCCATTCCCTCAGACTCGGAATGAAAGCCTCCTATAATTGAGTCTGAGAGAGAGGCTCTCACGAGGGATTCAGCTCAATGGTAGAGTGCTCGCCTAGCAGGCACCGGGACCAGGGTTTCAGTCCCGACACTGTTAAACCAACAAACAAGCAAGAAATAAATAAATCAAGCTCTGGGATGCAAGATTAGAAATCTGACAAATAAAATGAAGTTTACACCACAGAAAGTTGGAAGTCTCAACACACCGTGAGAACTCATATAATGGAACTTTAGATGCCTTTTCTGGGCTTTTCAAGTAATCAGCCCATATCAGATTTCCCCCCAAATAAAAAAGCCCTAGGTAACAAACACCAACTGGTCCAGCTCCCTAGGCCAACTTGTGCCTGTACTTCAGTAGGAGTCAATAAGGGGAATGACAGCAGAATTGTGTTGAGATAAATTCAGAGTTAATTAAGTCTAACAACTTACGGGATCCCCTGGGAAGCCCTTCTCTCCATTTTCCCCAGGGGTACCTCTGGAACCTGGGCTGCCCTGAAAATACAGACAGATAAACAGACAAATAAGACAAGCTTCCATGTTATCCTGTAGGTGGCTTTTATAGTTAAATGCCAAGCAGTAGACAGGCAATCAGATAAAATATTTCATGTTTTAATGCCTCCCTCAGGTGCCTGTAGATTTCCCAAGTTCGAGTTTAAGCCATGGTCAGGCTAAGACACAGGAAACCTACTCATGGTCTAGCATAGGGCTGTCCAATGAAACTTTCGGCAATTAGGGGGAAGCTCCATGGTAGTGGGGGAAAATTCCATGGTAGCCACTAAGCATCTTTGTATAGGCTGACACTTGGAATGAGTTTAGTGAAATAGAAATAGTGAAATAGAATTTTCACTTCAATGAATTTAAATTTAAGCATTGACATTGGCTGTCCTAATTGGATGATTTCAACAATTTAGCGATTTGATGTCCATCAGAAATGTGGCCCCATGGGTTTTCTACTGCAACCCCCAAACAATTTTCCAGTGAAATTTTTCAGACTACAGTCCCTAGAGACATTTTGATTGATTCCCCGATTTCCTGTTTTCCTACATTGGCAAAGCATATGTCCCTGGTCCAGGGTGGTTACAATGGGACAAGAGAGGCTTCTAGGGGAGCAATACTAAGGTGGGCCTCACTCTACATTGGAGGGTGACTTCTTATACCCACATGCCTACTTGACCCACCCTAGGCTGGTCCCTGCATACCCTTAATATTTCATGTGTCTGTTCTCTCTGAGACTGCTTTACCTGAAGGCTTCATCCCATCTCATGTCAATTATTATGAACCTACCCCTCATCCCTCCTTATATCTATATCAATGCCAACAGTCCCTGAACTACGTCTGAATAATATTTCTAAAACACCATCTTTATTGTCTTTTGCTTAAACCCTTCCCAAGATACATACATACATGAACATACACACACACACACACACACACACACACACACACACACACACGGTCTAACAGCCTCTTACTGAAATCCATCTTCCTCCACCTGCACTCTGTTTCTTCCAGTGGACCACTGTTTCATGTACTTGCTCACCCTCTGTCTAGAATGTGCTTCCTCCACATCTGCACCTTGCTAATTGCAATTCACTATTTCTGGTTTCCAGAAGACTCCCTGGACACTCCCACCAAGCTGACTGGTGTCAGAAGGACCCCAAGTGATCCCAGACATTTCTGTGTACCACAGAATCCCTGAGGATGAGGGTTACACTGGTCCCACTCCAATCTCTGACTTCTTGACAAAGTAATTCAGTGTCTGGTATGTTACAGATGTTCAAAAACCTTTGATAAATAAATAAGTAGATCTGTTGGGATGAATTTACAATAAGCAAAATATTTCACTATGATTTATAACTCCAACGCATCCAAATCAACTTTTTCATTCTTTCTGTTTTTGGTATCATGAAAGAAAACAAAGGCTAATAATGACCAAACATGTTCACTTACAGACTTCTGAGAAACATAAGCACAGAAAGACCTCACACATTGAATTTTTCTAGCTGGAAGTTCTTGAAAATGACATGGTAGTTATGGCAGTTTAAATGAGAAACTCAGTGCCCCAGAGGCTCATATATTTGAACACTTGTCCCTACCCCAGTTAGCAGGGCTGTCTGGGGAGATCATGGAGCCTTTAAGGGGCGGAGCCTTTAAGGAGCGGAGCCTTTAGGAGGCGGAGCCTTTAGGAGGCGGAGCCTTTAGGAGGCGGAGCCTTTAGGAGGCGGAGCCTTTAGGAGGCGGAGCCTTTAGGAGGCGGAGCCTTTAGGAAGCGGAGCCTTTGGTAGGCGGGGCCTTGCTGGAGGTAGTACATCACTGGAGCCTGGTTTGGAGCGGGGTGGGGGGGGAGGTTATAGTCTCACCCATTTCCAATTCACTCTCTTCCCTATATGTGGATGAAATTTGATCAGCCAGCTTCCTGCTCCAGTTGCCATGCCATGCCTTCCCCACTATGAGACCTCTCTCCCTTTGGAACCATAGACTAAAACAAAGCCTAAGTTGCTTTTGGTCAGGGAATTTTGTCATAGCAATAGAACAAGAACTAATACAGTAGTCCCAAGACAAAGAATGGTATCTGTTGGCCACAGACTTTCATTGCATGATTGGGGTGATTAATTTTTTGAGACAGGGTTTCTCTGTATTGTTTTGGAGCCTGTCCTGGAACTAGCTTTGTAGACCAGGCTGGTGTGGAACTCACAGAGATCCGCCTGCCTCTGCCTCCCGAGTGCTGGGAGTGGTAGTTAATTTTATCAACTTGAGTTTAATAAACACTCAGGACACTAATGAGACACACCTTTGGGTATTTCTGTAAGGGTTGCCCCCAATCCCAAAAGGTTTACCCTGAGGAAGGAAGATCCACCCTGATTGTAGGCAGCACCATCCCAGAGGCTGAGGTCCTTGACTGAGTAAAAAGGAAAGGGCTGAGCATTGGCCATTCCCCTTCTGTTTCCTGGCCAGGGCCATGGACTAAGACCCTCCTACCAAAATAGACTACATTCCTCTGAAGAGTAAGTCAAAATAAACATTCTCCCTTAAGTTGTTTTGGAGGGTATCTGGATGCTTTGAGGGATGTCCAAATATTGGGGGGTGTTTGGATGCTTTTGGGGGTACCCAGATGCTTTGGAGGTATCCAGATGCTTTGAAGTGTCTGAATGCTTTTGGGGGTGTCCAGATGATTTGGGGGTATCCAGAAAGGTCAGGTATTTGAGTGTAGCCTGAAGAAAATAACTAAGATAGTGGTGAAGTCACCTGTCAATTTTATCCCTAAATTCAAGCACAGCAAACAGGGCTAAATCTGTCACCAGGGACTACTTCATTAGTGAAGAGAGTTACCTGAGAGCCAAGGTCACCTTTTTCCCCCTTTATTCCACGAAATCCATAAAATCCCTAAACAAACATAAAATAAAACCTCATTTAGAAAAAAAATCAACCTCATAATGGCTTCATGATAACTCAAAAAGAGGAGACAGATGGCTTACCTCTTCTCCATCCAGTCCGTCAAGCCCATCTTCTCCGTGTTCTCCCTGAGGGACAACAGACAGCTCTCAAGAACACTGGTTACAATACAAGACTGAATCAGTCGGGGGGGGGGTCTGATGGGGGTTGCCCTTCTGTATGTATGCTTCTCTTATTGGTTGATGAATAAAACACTGATTGGCTGATTGGCCAGGCAGATAGTATAGGCAGGGCTTGGAGATGAGGAGAATTCTGGGAAACATAAGCAGATGGAGTCATCATGTAGAGCCCAGGAAGAGAGGACGTGCAAGGCATTCTCCGGTAAGCCAAGACCACGTGGAAATACATAGATGTATGTTTATTTGGGGCTCTCAAGGGCAGAGGGACCCTACTGGCCAGAAAACTTTCATCAACAGAGGTCTCTGACATGCGCTTGTTAGGAAATGAGAATCCAAGCTAGGAGACAAAACTTGACTGAGAAGCAAATACTGTACCTGAGCTCCAGCAAATCCTTTGACTCCCTGCAAAAAAATTAAGACATTGTCAAAGGCGGAAGGGGATTCTAACTGTGAAGCAGGAAGGGGCTGCCTCCCTTGAGAGCATTGTCTCTTTAATTGCTTCTGGCTACACACCCACATAGTGGTTCTGGGTGGAAATAAGTGAATGTTCAAGACTTGTCCACAGACAGGTGAACTAGCACATGTAACCAGAAAAGATAAAGAGGTGATGGGTCAGAGGACACCAGACAGCGTTACAGTAGACAGGAGGGTGTCACAGGAGAGTGAGCACAATGAGCCAGGCAAAGCTTACCTTTTGGCCTCGAGTCCCCGGACATCCTGTGATCCCTCTGTCTCCTTGAGGTCCAATTTCTCCTCGTCTTCCCTAAAGTGAAACCAGACATGAATCCAAAGAGATGCTTTCACCGGAAGCTGTCCGCAGTGTGCTTTTGGATCACTGAGCCACAGCTTGTGGCAATGCAATTCCTCCTTTGCAGTCCCCAGACTCCCCCCCCCACCTCTCACACCCCCACAATCCCCATTTCACACACTTTCCTTGTCAGCCTTTAGGGTTCCCTCACAAGTCACAAATGGGTTGACGTGAGCTCAACCTCTTTACTCCCCATCAGCGAATGAGGCCACTTTGCCTCCTAGCCACAGTTCTAATTGCTCAGTGACCCCATGGTATCATGCCCAGGACTCTGATGCCACCCTGGGGAAGGCAGAGCTGCTGACATAGAAAAGCCATTCAGTGTCCATGGCTAGAGCTGAGCAGAGACAGATGGGAAGACACATTACTGCAAGAACAGAGCATGAAGGCAGGGGAGCCTCTCCTTGGACTGCAGAGATCAGGCAGGGATGGGCTTTCTGCATGATCAGAAGGATCTGAGTTTGATCCCCAAACCCACATTTTAAAAATCCAAGAATAGTGGTATGTGTCTAATCCCAGCTCTGGGGATGGGTATAAGGACAGGTGGAACCCTGGGGCTCTTGCTAGAGGCCAGCCCCTTCCAACAAACTCCAGGTCCATGAGATTCCCTTGTCTTAAAAAATAAAAAACCAGGGATATTCTTGATTAGGGTACAAGAAGAAGAAGGAGAAGGAGAAGGAGAAGGAGAAGGAGAAGGAGAAGGAGAAGGAGAAGAAGAAGAAGAAGAAGAAGAAGAAGAAGAAGAAGAAGAAGAAGAAGAAGAAGAAGAAGAAGAAGAAGAAGAAGAAGAAGAAGAAGAAGAAGAAGAAGAAGAAGGAGAAGAAGAAGAAACTAAATGTGGGTCGTACCGTTCCATGGGCTTGGGTCTTGGACTGTATAAAAAGAAGAAAGCTATCATCTGAAGAGGAGAAAGCTATCTGGAGGGAAGGATATCTAGAAGGGGGTGCTATCTGGATAGGGGGCTATCTGGAGAGGGGGGTTATCTAAGAAATGTCATTTAGAGGGGAAGGGGCTGAGCAGGGCACTCATCCCTCTCTGGAATGTAACCATACGCCTCAGGGTCCCACCCCACAGACTGCGCACTGATTTGCTCCTGCCCCATGATTTACTCACTCTGATGAACCACTCCCTCGCATCATAAGCCAATGCAAACCCTTCCTTTCTTAAGATGCTTTTGTGGGGTATCTTTTCAGAAGAACAAGAAAAACCACTAACACAGCTTCCTCATGAGGGAGGGGACATGCAAGCCTCCTTTCCCTGTCTCACTTCCTTGACTCTGAAAACCAGGGTCCTGCAGGCCCAAGGTGTGTTGCCCACGCTCACTAGAGGCTGAGAGGACTTTAGACTTCAGTTTCCCATGGCCTGAACTTTCAGCCAGCTATGGGTCCTCAGTAGGGCAGGGGGGCTGAGTCAACACACACAAAAGCACACTTACACAGGTGTGGTCGTGTTTGAGACCCCACTGAGGCTACAAAGTGAGCCACTTAGTACACTCCCTTAGTGGTGCTTTTAAAACAAGCTAGGTCAGCCTTGGATCCTAGAAGAATTGTCAAGAAGTTAAACATCCTGGTCAAGGTCTCACCCCTAGGTCAGGCCTTAGAAGTCTCTTTCCAGAGTCCATGCTTTAAACAATATAAACATTATGAACTGAACACTCCTCGTGCCTAGAGAAGCCACCCAAGGGGCTTCATTCCCTCCAAGTTTTACTCATGGGTGATGAGCCAAGCGAAGAGCCTTCCAAGCCTCTGGGCAGCATTTAATCATGAAGTCATACTCTGGGATAGCCTGCCCACTTCCTCTACATGAAGAACACATGTTCCAGCTCCTGCCTAGAGCCATGCACAGAGCACTGGGCCTAAAAGGAGCTCCCTAGCAGGGAAGCTGCTACAACCTGCTTACAGATACAGAGGAGAATCCCAGACCCCTAACACCGACTTAAAAACAACAACGAAACAGTCCCTGGCCTGAGAGCCGCTGATGTCCACAGCTTGGGGTTAGTGAAGGAAAAGGGAAAACAGCCCTTTCCTCCACAGCGCCATCTTTAAAGGAAAGTAACACACACAAGACTCCTCTACCCCATAAAGCTTTTCGGAAAGAATAGCATGTGGATTTATGGGAGAGGAAGTCCTAACTTACAGGGTCTCCATCCTCTCCCCTGTGTCCTCTGCTGCCTTTGAGGCCTGAAGAACCCTAGGAGGCAAAGAGAGAGGCACATTTAATCATGCTCCATCAGTGCAACTCATGAGACCATAGCATTCCTCCCCAGGCCCTCCCTTGACTGCTGGTTGACTTTGTGCCAATACAGCCATGAGTTGGGGGAGAATCCAACATCTGTAGGGGGCTTTTTCCTGGGACTCATCTCAAAGCCCCTTTGCAGAATGCCCTCCTAGTGACACAGGACACCGATCCTTGGAACCCTCTCATGGATGAGGGGCTATTCCCATATCTAAGGGACTTACACAGTGCTGTGACCACCATTTTTAATATGGATTTTTATTATTTTAATTATGTGTATTGCTGCCTGGTTTTATGTCAACTTGGCATAAGCTAAAATCTTCAGAAAGGAGGAAGCCTCCATTGAGAAAATGCCTCTATAAGACTGGGCTGTAGGCAAGCCTATAAGGCATTTTCTTAATTAATGATTGATAAGGAAGGGAACTGATAGCCCATTGTAGGTGGTACCACCCTCTGCTTTTCTGAAAGCAGTAGTTAAACTAAGTCACTTTTCTCTGAGCCATAGTTTAGCTGCTTCTGCTTCGAAACTTAACTTGTAGCAAAGATCTCAATGAGGTTTGTTTTCCCTAGCATCTAACACAGATCCTTGCTGAGCCCCTGGAGCATGAGCCTGTTGACATGCAAGAGGAGAGTTCAATAAATGGAATAGCATGATCAGGCAAAACATTGGGTATAGATTGGCCTTCAACAGTGATAGACAAAGCAGAGATCATCAGCAAGTATTACAGTCGCTCTGCTTTGTACCGAGAAGACTAAACACGTTTGTTCTAGCCTAATGATCTGTGCTCCATCCCCAGAATCCACAAAGTAGGAGCTGACTCCTGCGAGTTGTCCGCTGACCTCCACAGGTGCACCGTGGCACAGTCATGCCCACCCCCAAATAAATAATTTAAGTCCTTCTGTAATAAGAGGAAGGAAAATGCAGGCTCAAGTTGTTAAGAAGAAAAAATACATTTACCACAAAAAGTACTTTACTATATGATACCTAAAATCCATCTGAAAATGCATGCGAAGTAAGTATTATATAAATGCACAGTTTAATTGTTACAAAGTGAGATTTGTGCAGTAATTATATGTGACATCTGTGCAATTATCACCAAGGGCCAAGAAATGGAACATTGCCAGTCCCAGACATTGGGCCACCCCATCACATGAACCCAGAACCCACTATCCCAGCCCCGCTCAGAAGTGCATTGTTAACACAAAGGATAATACTTCCAGGACTTGCATTCTCAGACAGTATAACTTCATTTTAATAAATGGAATCCTACCTATATATTCTCCTGTTTTGTCTTGTCTACTTTCTCTGGTCATTATTGCATGGGTAAAAATCCATTCATGTTTTTTAATGAATGTAGTTCATCTGTTTGCAGTGACACTGTCTTTCATTGAAAATGTCATGATGCATTTTCCATTCTATCACTGTATAATTCATCTTCTGTAATTTCCTCTTTTATTTTTCAGCTCAATCTCACTTATTGTTGAAAAACCACAGCTCTCTCCACTGTTTCAACACCTTTCAGACTGCCTAAAGCAGATTTAGAAAGTGTAAATTACAAACCCAAAAAGCAACCTTGCCAGGGACATGGAGGAAAAGGGGGAGCACTTCTCAGTGGCAATGGCAGAGTGAACCCTTCTGAACCTGTTCCTATGCTGTGGAAGTTACCCAAGATGCCCAAGGCAATTACATTACATGGAGCAAAGGTTGCAAATTCAACTATTCAATTTCAGCCTCACTCATGACAAAGCAAGGCATGCTAGAGAAAATAGGGTCAAATGGCACCTTCGAGGCTTGGAGTCCCCGGGTTCCATGAGGTCCTGGAATCCCTGGGCATTTACAAAATGTACAGCAACAAGCCCTCTCTGCGATGTTTCCCTAGAGAGGGAGAGGGAAAAAATAGCAAAGAGGTGAGTGACGATCATCAGGGAGTTTCTTAGGTAATAACCCTACACAGACACATCATAGACCACCTACAAGCCCAGGCTCTGCCTTTGCTTGGGACAGGGGATCAAGCAATAAGAGGGCTTTATTACTTCACTGCAGAAAGGGCACTAGGCCAACAACTGGTATGGGCAGCATCCCCTCTCTAAAGGAAACAACATCAATTACTAGAAAGGGCACCAAGTGTATTTATGGCCACAGGCCAATTTGACTTGAGACATATTGATTCCTAGTTGACAATCTCCCAGGATTTCTATTGTATGAATTAGCTTGAGCTTTTTAATAACATTAGAGGCTGATTGATCTTTCGGTTCCCTGTACATTCATTTAGCAATATGACAACAGAAAAAAAAAATATGTTTTGAATACAAATCAAACCCTTAATACTACAGGATATTCAAGTGTCAAAGGCAGGCAGATCACGCTGAGTTGAGGCCAGCCTGGTTTACATAGAGGATTCCAGGCCAGTTAGGGATATACATGGGATTCTGTCTCAGATAGACAGAAGTCTTGAATGTTCATAGGTGGTAGGATGGCTACTATCCAAAAAGGAAGGAGTGAGGGAATGCAGGACAGGAACAGGAAGGAGAGAGGGAAAGAAGTAAGGGGAAAGAAGGAAAGCAGGAAGGAGGAGAGGTGTGGTAGTTTTAATGCATTTGGCCCCCATAATCTCATAGGGAGTGGCACTATAAAGAGGTGTGGCTTTATTGGAGTGGGTGTGGCCTTGTTAGAGGAAGTGTGTCACTGTGGGGGCAGGCTTTGACCTTTCTTGAGCTCAGGGTACCTCCCAGTGAGTCAGTAGACTTCCTGCTGCCTGGCTATCAAGAGGGGAACATGCCACCATGCTCTGTGAAAGTGTCTCTTCACAGAAAAAACAAAACAAACAAACCCCAAAGACTGGAGGAAACAAAGCACATCAAGTGTCCAGGAAGATGCGGAGAAAGGAAAACCTGAATGACTGAAAACAGTAGATGTGTTTCTCAAGGCACTAAAAACAGGATTAGCATAGTCCATAACCCCATTTGTGAATGCAAACACATAAAGAACTGGATACAGGACCCTGGAGAGATGTTTGCGCATGTGTATTCCAAGGTAGAAATGATCAAAAATGTCAGTTGGGAGACGAATGGCTAAAGATAGTGCAACAAAGAAGGGAATAATACTGTCACATGCGACAACGTGGATGAGCCTTGAGGACATTACACTGAGCCAGTGGCAAACAGACAAATGCTGCATAATGACAATATAAGGAATCTTGAGTCGAAAAGCTTTTCAGGAACAGAAGTCGAGAGTCCCAGGCTCTGCAAGGGCAGGGGCACAGAGGCTCACATTGCCAATTGAAGGGTTACAGAGTTTCGATCTCATAAAGTGAAAACTTTCTAGAGGTCTACTGGACTGCAATATGCACATTAGCTAGTGTGGTGGTCAGCCTCGATTGTCAACTTGACGAGATTTGTCATCACCATGGAACAAACCTCTTGCATGTATGTCTGAGGGATTTTCTAGATTAGGTTAATTAAGGTGGGATTCTGTGGAATAATCCTTCTGTGTGCTGTGTAAATTATACTGTGATTGGTTTAATAAAGGAGCTGGCTGGCCAATAGCTGGACAGGATAAGGTTAGGCAGGAAAGCCAGACTAAGGACACTGGGAAGAGGAAGGGCAGAGTCAGAGGAGTCGCTGGTGAAATGTGGAGAGGAAAACAGGAGGTGCAAGATGGAAAAGAGGTAATGCCATGAGGCAGAATGTAAATTAATATAATGGGTTAATTCAAGTTGAAAGAGCTAGTTACTAACATGCCTTAGCTATGGACCGGGCATTTACAATTGATATTGAGTATCCCTGTCAGTTATTTGGGAACCTGTGGGTGGGAAAGTAAGCCTGCAATGAAAAGACCCACACTAAACATAGTCTGCTGAAGAACCATTCCACAGGCTGGATAAAAAAGAGGAATCGAATTACAGCAGCATCCTACTCAAGCTCCTACTGCCTGACTTCCCTGCCATGATGGGCTGTATCCTCCAACTGCAAGCCCAGACAAACCCTTCTATTCTTAAAATAATTTTGTCAGACAACTAACTAATACAACCATATAGTGTATACATCAAATTATTGAGGTGATAAACACTACATTTTAACCATAATAATAAAACCCAAATGTAGTTTCAAAAAAAAAACAAAAAACCTAGTTTTACTAATAACCAAAGACATGTCAGTTACAATGCTTCAGAACACTGGGGAAAATATATGATGTTGTGGTCTTTTGCATGTTTTAACATCCTAAATACCATGTATTTAACTTAATCATACAAACAGCAGCAGTCTTGGGAAACACCGAATTCCCACTTGGTTCTTGGAGCACTTGAGATAACTGACAACTCACCAGATACTGTGAAAGCTTCTTGCCCAGGTCTGTCATTCCAATGGCCAGGTGGGTCCTGTAGTCAAATCCTTTTCCAAATTCAAAGCTGGAAAACTCACCATTTGTGAATGTGTTAAGAGACACCACCAATAGAGCATCAAGTCCTATTTAATAAAAATAATAATAACAACAACACATGTGAAACCAAAAGGTTCACCCAACAAAAGATTTCTGCTCGATAAATGTCATTCAAAGAACCAGAAAATGGAAAAGGCAAACAGCAGAGGAAGCAGGATTCTCAACATGCAAACACCCAACAGCAGACTCACCCGCATTTCTGAGAACACATGAAATTCCCCCAAAGTAAAACATCACAGAGAAACTAATGACCATTCAGCTGAAAAAATGTTGTGGAATATTAGTTTAAGATATGTTATGTTCATTTATGCTATGGAATATTTGTTTAATGATGCAAAGACATGTTGCATTCTTTTATGCTGCATTTGTTTAACTCTGTGAAGCTGTGTTACTTTGCCTGTCTAAAACACCTGGTGGTCTAAGAAAAACCTGAACAGTTGATAGCTACATAGGAGAGAGAAATAGGTGGGGTTGGTGAGCAAAGAATAAATATGATGAGAAAGTTAGAGTGGGAGTGAGGAGCAAGCAAAGGAAAAGGAGATGAGGACTCAGGTTCCAACCACACAGCTACACAACCACACAGCCAGCCACACAGCCACACAGACAGCCACACAACCACATAGCCAACAACACAACTACACAGCCAGCCACACAGCCACACAACCACACAGCCAGTCACACAGCCACACAACCACACACCCAGCCACACAGCCACACAACCATACAACCACACAGCTAGCCACATAACCACACAGCCACACAGCCAGTCATGGAGTAAGAAGGAAAATAAGGTATATTAATAAGAAAGGCAAAAAGCCCGAAGGCAAAATGTAGTTAAAGAGAAACGGAACATTTTAATTTGGAAAACCTGACTAGAAACAGGCATTCATAAGCAAGAATAAGTTTCTGTGTTTTTATTTGGGTTCTGGGTGACAGGCCCCCAAAGAGGAAAAAAAAGCTACACACACACACACACACACACACACACACACACACACATGCACACACACATACAACACACACACACAAAGCCAGCAGAAAGGAATATTCAATATCTCAAACCCATTCTGATGCAGCTCTTGGGCATTCAAACATTATTTTTATGAATGCATTGTTTATCTCTGGAGTGGGGTTCTGAATTTACTGGAATACATATTAACAAGTTATCCTCCAGGAACCCAGATTCTGGGTGATTCTTATTGCAGATGAATGAATTTCATTCACTCATTACTTCATCTACTAGCTGGTTGATTCATCCACCTTGTCATTGTGTACCAGTTGTACCAGGATGACAAAATGAGTGAGGGGATCAGGCACATTCCGTCCTGTGTCAGAGTTCACGGTCTAATGGATAAGATGGACAGACGGAAAATTCTGAGTTCTCTGGGGAGACCATTGGGGACTAATGAAAGTCTTACTTGATGCTCCAGACAGTCGTGGGGCACTGTGAGAGGACACTCTCAGGATTATGGAAGATTATTGGAGACAGTGGTGGCTACGCTGACTAATGAAGACTGGAAGGAATGAGAATATCAACACCTTGACTAAGGGAAGTTCTGTGTGCTAGAACACCAAGTATGAGGAATGAGCTCAGGCCGGGGCTGGAGCAGAGATAGGCGTCTGCAGTCTCGGGCGCCATAGTAAGGAAGTTGATACAGAACCCAAGGACCACGAGAGGGTGCTGAAGGGATCTAAGCAAGGAAGGTGGCACCAGCCAGCAATAAAGCAGGAAACTTTGTGAGTCGTGAAGATTGAATCTCAAAAGCCAGGCTGGGGCTCCTTCAAGGCACCTTTACAAGATGTGCCCCATCTGACAGTTAACAGACTGAAGGTTCCTCGGGTCCAAAACTGGCAGATATAGATGTTGGGTGAGAAGTGCTTGTGCTAGCCCACATTGCTACCTTTCACATGGATGGCAAGAGACAGCAAAGGCATCTTAGGTCAGACACCCTACAGCAGGAAAAGTGTGTGTGTGTGTGTGTGTGTGTGTGTGTGTGTGTGTGTGTTACTGAGAAGGAAAATCAGTGAAGAGAAAGGGAAGCTATGGCAGGGTTTTATCTCAGCAAAGACTCAGTTTGGCCTGAGTCGTGAGAGACTCTGAAGTGTTAACTGTGCCAGAGTTTACACAGTTGAGGCAAGAGCACTGGATTTGTGCATGCCTCTATCATTGAGAGCCACATTCACTGGAATGGGACTTAGTCTAGCCCCACCTGTAATGGCTACTCTTTGTTGTCAATGTGATTGGATTAATAAATAACAGTATGTTCGAGAGAATGTTTCTAGTTGGTGAGAAGACCTGCCATGAAGACAGGCAGTTCTACCTAATGGACCCATGTCCTGGAGAAAAATAGAAAACCTGTTGCTCTCCAGACTTCATCCTCTGCTTCCTATTCAGGTGAGATATGAGCAAGCATCTGCCACCATGAAGCCTTCACCACACCTTCCCCACCATGATGGGCTGTATCTACCCAAACATGAGCCAAAATAAACTCCTTCCTCAACTACGTCATACCAGCAAACTAGCCTCAGTCCAAGCAGCAGGGGTTGGGCAACAGTATGTGTCATTAGAAGGTCACAGGTGTAACTGCTTGGTTATATCATTGCCTCAAGGTGAGAAAAATGGGGGTAAATCAAAGTACTTTGCACAAGTCCCCAACAACATCTCATGCAAATGGCTGCACAGATCCTAAGATGGAGAACACACGTGGCAGAAACCTGTCCACATGCCCCATCTCCACTGTTTGCATTTTCAACTCGATACCTGCTTCTCTGAGCCTGTCTGACTGCTGCTCCAAAGTGGTGATGCTTTCACCATGGAGACCATCTGAGAAGATAAGCATCACCTACAGAAAGAGAGAAGAAAATAGGATGATGGCGGAGCCAGAGGTGGAACTGGGAAAGGAGGAATAGATGGGGGATGAGGAAAGGGGAGAAGACTGTAGGGAGAATACCTGGCCCCTGGATGAAGATTTATCCTCAAACATGTCCCACAGTGACTGCAAGAACTGTGCATTCAGATGAGTTGGCCCACGGACAGTGACTTGCAGCAAGCTGTCAAACACTGCTTTCTGGTAGATTTGGAACTTGGCTGGGAACTCTTGGTCACTGTTCACCTTAAAGGCCAGGCTCACCTGTGCCTCCGCACCTCCTCCACAGCTCACACCTCTGATGGAGGTGATGTCCTCTAGGATGTTTGGGAGGTATGATTCTAAGCGGGGATGGCTCTGGAACAAAGGCTGGTCCTGATGGTGAGTGGAAATGTCGAACCCGATCACGACATCCACAAAGCAATCTGGTGACCAAAGAAACAAGACCAGGTTAATCAGCAAACAGAGTGAGGATGGGGGGAGGCAGAGAAAAGGTTCTGTCAGCTCCAGAACTGGAGCCCAGGGATGTCTAGTACCCAGACTATGTTCAAAAACAAAGGTACTGACTACTCTATCAATATAGAGCATGGGTTCTCCTCTGTCCCCTTTCATATGCAACAAGTTCCAGAAGTTATTTGAGCTTCACATCATGGTTTAGGCTCGTTGCTAGCAGCTTTATATGTATGGGTGAATTTTCCTGCTCTCAATGGTGACATATTCTGAGTCCTATGAATCATAACACTTTAGACATGTGAACTGTCTTGGAGATTATTTGACGTCTAGCAGCCATTAGTGTGAAGTTTTGCAAAGGCCAGGTGGATACTGCAGAGAAGTCAAATGGCCAGAAAGTGAAGACAGTTACCTGGAGAGCAGACTGAATCCCAGTCCTGTTCACGCCCAGCAACAGCTGAGAGTGGCCAAGTGGTAAACAGAGCCCCATGTGGTTAAATCCATTCTTAATGCAAATCTATATTTTAGTGCAAAGTCTCCAGTCTGTATGTGCTGTCAACTAATTTAACAAGTTACCCCTGGCTAGCGGAACGAGCAAGTTGCTCTGATCCTTGCCAGCTGTTCCTGTTCAGACTAAGGAACAGTGAGTCTTATGTTGTGGCTCTACTCCAGAGCCCTGGCTTTCCAATTCCAGACCCAGGGCCCTTCCTTCCTCTGTCACTTGCCTCTACACAAGTACTCAAAGGGACATAAAAGAACTGGAACCCTTGGAGAGCCTAACACATGCCATAGAGGAGGGAGCTCTGAAGACGGCCGTAGCGGGGAGTTCCTGCCCGTGCACAAATCCCACACAGGGAGGAATACCTGCTGCAGTGCTGCCTTCCCAGCTGCACAGACACTGCACAGGTCCAAGTGCATAGAACTGAGCCCCTGTGGCTACTGCCGGCTGCAGCTGGTTATCGGCATGCCGGCTGGATGGATCACTGTTTCCCAGTTTGCCGACGTCACACCCTGTCAAGCTGACTCCTCCTACCATATCCAAGAGGACTTTGTAGCCATTTACATTTGTGGGCTGAAAAGCCTGGAAAGACAACTGAAATTTTTAGTATGTTACAATCATGTAGATGTTATTCTTCGAAACAAAATAGGGCTGGACTGATTGCTCAGTAATTAAGAGCGCTTGTTCTTGCAGAGGACCCAGGTTCGGTTTCCAGTACCCACATGCTGGCTCATAGCCATTTGTAATTCCAGTTTCAGGGGATCTGATACCTTCTTCTGACATCTGTGGGCACTGCACCCACATGCTGCATACATACACAAACACAAATTCCAGAAGAGCCCATGCCCTTTTCTGCCTCTAAAGTCACTGCAGACATGTCCACAGGCATACATGTAGGCAAAACAACCATATACAAAATGTTTTAAATTAAAAATTTTAAGAAGACTATATACATATACATAAATGCACACACACACATATACATATACACACTCGGTCAACAATGTTGAAACAAAGTTTCAATAGCGAAGTTCATTTTCCTTATACCCTACTGAATGAAGGACATTGTTCAGAGGACTTGCAAGTACGGGAGCAAATACAGGAGACTGAGCTCCCATACTGAGAGGAACATAAACTCTGAATGATCATGAGGGGACAGGGATGCCTACAGGATATAACCCTACCCTACTCCCTCACGCTCTATTCCCAATCCTGTCACTGAGGACGGCTGACTAAGCACAAGCTTCCAGGGAGAAGCAGTAATCAATGTCTCACCTCACTGCATTATTCTAAATGGGTTCTACAGGGGCTAGCCCATACAACAGCATTGGGAAATGGAGGCAAAGGAAGTCACCATCAAATAACACTAAACAACAGCAGGACACTCACTGGCTTTCCCGCAGCTCTGGCAGATTTCACGGACCATCCTTTTCTTCACATCCACACTCTTCAATCTATCAAAGTCTCGGAAAGTAATTATCTTTTCCGAACTGCCTGTGATGGGCAGGAGTTGTTCCTTATAAACATCTCCTATGCCCAAAGCCAGGACACAGATGCCGAGGTCTTTCAGGACTTTCACTGCATTTGCCACATCATAGCGGGGATGACTGGACGTGATGACAACCAAAGTTTGAGGGACACCATTGTTTCTCCTTCCACCGACAGAGGGATGAAACATGTCGCTCACATGCTTAAGAGCAAAGTCAATTCGTGGAAAGCCCTTGCTCCTGGCCACAGTTTGGACCTGAGACTTCCACTGAGTCTTGTTCAGAGAGCTTTCCAACTCAATAATTTCCTGATACCGGCTCCCGTATTGAGCCATCCCAATTTTCATTCTTTGAGACTGAATGTCAAAATTATCAATTAAGTCTGACAAGAAAGTTGTCATGGTAACGAACTCCGAATCAGACACCATGTCAGAGCCATCACAAAGGAAAATCACATCGGCTTCCTGAAGGTTACAGGCTGGAACAAGAAGGAAAAAAAGAATAAATTATTTTCTTCATGCATCATTCTAGATTGTTCCTTTACTGGGATACTTAAATTGCTTTGCTAAATACTTAAATTGTTTTGCATTAGGAGCAAATTGAGATAAATTAACTGAAGAGAGGCACACTGATTGAACCTCAAAGAGAAGGAAAAATCAGCAGGAAAGGGTAGGATAGCAGGCATTTTTTTCAAAGTGTAATTACAGTTGCATGAGTTACGGGAAAAGATACTGCAGGCTATTCAGAAAGGAAGTAGATAATATGTACAGATTGAATATTTTCCTGAAGAGATATTGTATGAGCCTGGAAGTCTCTTCAATGTCTGCAGATGATCAGAATAGTCTATGTAGCAATAGCACTTTATTGTTGAAACTCCTATTGTTAACTGGTGTTGGTGTTGCCAGAGTACACATGTATCAAACACTTTGGGAATGTAATAAAACAGTAAGTATCCCCACACCTGTTTATGACACATTATTCTAGTTTTGTATGTGTAGAAATGGAATTCAGGGTAATTCATGAGAACAAATAATTACTATGGAGGAAGGAGTGTACCTGAACTTCTAGAAACTTAAATATAATTTTTTCTACTGCAGTTTTTTATGTCATGACCTCAATATTAGAAGTAGATGGGACAAGTGTGCATTGTTCAGAAATAGGGCACAGGCTCATCTCCCTGAAGTTCAGTGTGAAATATTCTAAAACCCAAGGGATAATTTCCTCCAAGTTCCAGCCAGAATCCCTGGCTCAGGTAGGAACAGTGGAATGGTAATCACAATTGGTAATCCCCAGTGGCCCAATATCACACAATTCCTTGAAAAGCAGAGGGCCAGATACAAAGCCACAATGCCCAGACAGGACTTCAAGGAAGATAGAGCTCTCTGCAGTTAGTAGAGCCTCCAGCTTCCAGCTCCTTCAGCATTCACCTCCTTACAGAGATGACTTGCAAATGATGTGCCTTCCCCAGAGAAGTCCACACTCCCTTCTCACCCCATGCTTGCCATCTTAGTGGGATGCTGGGCAATTATCCTGGGAAGTGCTTGGTCTGGAGCTTCTGGTTTATAGTTTCATTGGATATGCATCACTGTCTGACTTGTGCCTACCTTGCCTTTCCTTTTATTTCCCCAAGTGTGGTTCCTTAATAAACATCATGCATCCCATGATGCATCCCATCTCAGCATCCACTTCCAAAAGGTAATGTGGGAGATGAGAATAAAGTAGTACCCTTACTTCTAAGACAAGACCAGTCTTAGTAACGTACTAGATTTGGTGGGAATCCAATAAATGAACAAGAGCCCAATAAACTCAGTCTTTTGATTGATAGAGATGAGAAGACAGCAAAATAAACTTTAAACGTTAACCCCAAGAGAAATAGAAGGCACCAGAGTTAGAGAACATGAAGCAAACAAAAGTTTAAAGTTGTTAGGTATATTAGATACAGGCAAGTGGGTGACAGGCTTGAGTATTTGTAGTGGGTAGAACAATGTGCACAAAGATGTGGAAATTTTTTTAGAAAATAAAGGAGACATGAAAAGGGCATGGGCAACAGGTGAGATGGGAGAAGTGCATAACGGTTAGATAGAGTTAGAAAGCTTCCAAAACACTATACACAGTGGTGTGACACAGTCCAGTATGTGCAAGATTGTTGAGAGTGACCTGCATGGCAACAGGATGGGGAGGGGGTGGTTCACACACCTGAGCAAACAGATGAATAAGTACACATGCACATGTCACACTCCACAAAGCTCAGACACCATCATAGAGTGGGGGGGGTGGAAAGATTTAAGAGCCTGAGGTAGAAGAGGACCATATAAAACAGTGGCTTTCCGACATGGGAAGACCACTATACTCTTGAACTTACAGTAGCTGTGACTGCATGAGTCTTGCATAAGATCAATCAGTCAACATTCTATTGTGGGTGTGGGAGGAAATCCCAAGTTTCTACCCCTATAACTGAGAAGCTATTGGCAGTAAATAGCTTCTGGGGGAGGTGGACTCAGTTTCCTTTAAGGGTATAGCTCCAGTAGTTGACACCACATCTGTAAGTATATGGGCAACCCAAACTGGAAAAGAAGACATGAAGCTGGGGGCGGAAATGTGAGACGGGATCTGAGAGGAGTTAGTGGGTATGAACATGACCAAAACACAATGTCACTCTCAAAGAATAAACTATTATATAAGTAATAGAGCAACTTACTCTCTTGTGAATTATTGCACAGAGTTTCTTGCAGAGGCAGGTAAGTATCTCTCAGTTTGTCAAAATTGTCTACATGGACAGTGTTTTCTTTCTTCCCTGCCATGGTCTCCAGTTCACCTTGGTTGGCATCTCCGACACCTACTGCGAAGATGGTGACGCCTTTGTCCCTTAGTTCCCACGCTGTGTCATTGAGTTTATCTCGGTCATGCGACACGCCATCCGTGATGACAACCATCAGCTGTTTCACATTTTGCTTCAGGCGGCTGCCATGCTCTTCTGTGAACAGGATGTTGGAGTGCTGAAGAGCCTTGGCAGTGTAGGTTTCCCCTGAGGTGGCCCTGGGCCGCCTCAGGTGCTCAATGATGTCTGATTTGCTTGAGTATGTGTTAAGATAGAAAAGAATCTCAGGATTGTTGGAATATTTGAGAGCTCCAAACTGGACTCGGTCCCTACCAACATCTGCCTTCTTCACCAAGTGGATGGTGAGGTTAATCATGCTCTCTTGTTGTTGTGAACCTATGCTGCCTGAATGGTCCAGCACAAACACAATATCTAAGAGTTCGATCCTCTTGCAATCTGAAAAAAATAAACAGTCACTCATAAACTCTATCAAGCATCCTACACACAAGAGGGAAAGCTGTCAACCTTTCCCATGAGTGTTCTAGGTACATTATATTCCCAATTCATCCCCCACATCTCACTTGGTACCCTTCCATTTTGTATGTGTGTGTGTGCATATGGATGTGCACAGGTGTGTATATGTGGAGGCCAACATTCAACCTTGAGTTTCATTCCTCAGAACACCAACTACCTTGGTTTTTGAAACGAGGGCTCTCACTGGCCTGAAACCCACCAAATGGGCAAGACTAGATGGCTAGCAAGCCCCAAGACTCTGCCTGTCGCCACTTCCTCTGCACTGGGATTACATGTACATGGCAAAATATGGCTTTTTCAAATGGATGCTGGAGATCAAACTCTGGTCTTCATATTCTTGTGGCAAGCACTTTGCCAACTAAGCATTCTCCCCAGCCCCTGTCTCACTTGGTTCAAAGTGGTTGTTTTCATTTTACAGAGAAAGAGGCCAAAGCACATTCAAGGGCAAGTTACCAGAACAGAATTCTACGGACACCTGTACCCTTACCTAAAGGGCCTTTTGACTGGTGGTCCTTGCACCACACCACACTGATCTGCTGGTGCCTCATGGTGCCTTTGCTAACCAGATTTCAGCAGAAAAGTAACGTTAGAAGCCAATTCAAGGACAATATGATGGCAAGTTTTACTAGAGCTTGCCGAAACAAACTGCTGCCTTGAATCCAGGAGCTCATTGTATAGGTTGGGTTGCATTCCACTCTATCTGGCTCCAGCTGCCCTGTGTCCCCAGTACCCAAGCCTCCCACATGCATCATTGGCCCACTTATGTGCACTCCACTCAGGCCTCCAGAATTCAAACTCGTAAAGGGATGGACACAAGTAAGGGTAGAGTGAAAGCTCTCATCTCCTCTTCCCTGGTCCCAAGTCCTCTTCCATTCTCAAAGCCAACAGGTCATTCTCCGGTGGGCTTGATTATCTAGACTCTCGGTCTTTTTTTTTTTTTTTTTTTTTTTTTTCCTTTCCTCAATAACCTAGGCATTTGCCATCCAAAGTTCCTTTTCTCCTTCACATCCCACCAGCCTGTTTTACCTCTCCAGTTTTCATTTCTGCCAGCGAGGTTATCAAGTTTTCAAGTCCCAGACACCATGGATGAGCTCAAGCTATCCCCCATGAAAGCCTGAGGCAAAGGCTTCCCTGAGACTTGGTGACAGGGCACAACTGGAGTTGGCTACCATATGAGGCAGCTGAAGTTCACCTCATGCTCTAGACAGGGCGCTGCCAGTGTTAGTATTTATCAAAAGGAAGACTCTAAAGTTGAAGGTCTGGCCCTTCAGTACACCTCAACCCTATGGAGTCTGGGAAATCGCTGCTGTAGAGGAAGAAAAGTCCTGAGACAGCACCTGAAACCCATTTGCAGTGGGGCCATTAATTTGTTAACTTTCTAAAAATCCTAAACACATGATTTTGAAGAATGAAACCAATGTCTGTCTGTTTCTATGCTGCCAGGAGAGCACACAACACACTTACTGATGTTTTCATTTGCTCTTTTGGCTGTTTCCAAACAGGTAACAGCATCAGATACATCCAAGTGTGTGTCTTCAGTCCTTGTGCAGCAAGTTCTAGCTCAAGAGATGTTGAGCTTGATAGTGTCAGGGCTGGGGATGCAGCTCAGTGGCAGAGCTGGCATCTGTGAGGCTCAGTTCCCAGCACCGAAAAAAAATGGCTCCAACTGAAGATTGCTCAATAATTTTTTTTTTAAAGCATTATGATTTATGAGATAAAAGTAGTAACCTCAAGCAATCAGGTAGAAAGTCCCATCATAAAATTTCACAAGTACATGAACAGACAAATGCCTAGTTGCCAGAAGTTAAGAATATAAATCAATTTTTTAAAAAATGCACTATGCATTTAAAATATGAGCAATGTTTTGGTAGATCGGGGCTGTTAAGGGGATCATTTAATATAGTTAAAAGGCAGATGCATTTATGCTTCTAATTACTTTCTGCCTGGCAATGGCTATGCATAGCCAAGAAACAATCTTTTAATAAATCATATGAGAGGTGGCTACTCTTCTCACTTTGAGTCAGCCCACTCAACTAAATCAATCTGCTTTCTCTCTCTCTCTCTCTCTCTCTCTCTCTCTCTCTCTCTCTCTCTCTCTTTCTTCCTCCTTCCCTTCCCTCCATAGTTTTCTGCTTAAACTGATTTTTAAAAATAATTTAATATTAAAAAACAGACCATGGAAAACTCCAGGTTTGTAAGGATTAGAGCTGGAAGTAGCATCATATTTAGAGACCTTTTCAGAATAGATTTGAATTCACCAAAAGCAAGACTAATTTGTACCAAACTAATTACCAAATTGTTCATCAGGTTGTAGGAGTTTTAATATGACTAACATAGATAAGAAATTAGGGGACCACTGATGTCTTGAAGGGAGACGGGGACACTTACCATGCAGAGCACACACACGAAAGATGAGTTTACTCTCTATTGCCTTCAGATGGTCAAAGTTCTCCACGTGGAAAACCAGGCTGCCATCCCCACTGATTTCCTCCAGCTCAGCCCTATTGGCACCATATACACCCACAGAAAAGATGGTCACACCTTTGTTCCTGAGAGCCATGGCAGGACCCCCTACTTCATCTTGGGCTTTCCCATCTGTGAGGAGGATGAGAAATTTTCTAACCTGGGGACGCCCCCCCTTGGGAAGGTCAAAGTACTCATTTACAAAGGTTAGTGCACTTCCGGTCAAAGTGTTTCTCTTGATGGACGACATCCTGTCTATTGCGGCATAAATGTCTTTGTGTGTGAAGAATGTATTGAGCTGGAATTCTTCCTTATTATAATCACTGAACTGAACAACGCCAACTTGGCTCTTACTGGCACCAATCTGAATCTTCCCCACCAGGTTTTTCATGAAGGTTTTCATTATCTCAAAATTTGTATCCCCTATGCTTCCAGAACTGTCCACCAAAAACATGATGTCAGCCTTCATATCTTCACAACCTGCATCGTGGGAAAAGATCAGAAATTGGCGTGATTCTCCGAGCACATGGAAACAGTAAGTAATAACAAATGCATCTACGAGAAAACATTCACAATCAACTCAGGGAATTGCTGTTATGTTTGAAATTTTTATTTTTTTATTTGCAACTTTGGTAGAAGAAGCCTTCTGACCAGAGCCTGCAGGCATCAGAAATTCACTGAGGATGATCCAAGAAATTTTAAAAAGGAAATGCCACTTCCAAACTTTATACTTAGTCCCTCACACATACAAACTCTCATTCACCATTAGTTTATCATTCATATATCATTTATCCACTCATCATTCATCCGTTCATCATTCTTTCATCATAACTTTTAAATGTACATGAATACAAAGCCTCAAGTTAAACATTAAAAATGTCATGGTGATTTTAAAAATTAATCAGAGCCCAAATAACCAATTCTCAACATTTATGGGACTAATATTTCAGGATTTAATCATAGTCTTGAAAAACATAATTCTAACTAATCTTAAAGCAGCATTATTTTCTGGGATAATTTTAAATGGCTTGATAAATAAGTCATTTAATACATAAAAATTGTAGTGAAAATATTTTAGTGGTGATATTACATGCTTTAGTACACACATATATCTATTCACAATAGACTATTCCTTATTTATACATAAAATTTGTAGTTGGTCCTTATTGGAATTGGGCATAAGTACATATACATAAATGTATATACACATACATATAAGACCAACTTCTATACATTATTGAAAATCAGTTCTATTGGAGCTGGAGAGATGGCTTAGCAGTTTAGAGCATCGCAGGCTTAGGTTTCTCAACATCCTGCTCTCCACTCACTACTTAGGATTCATTTCCTTGATCAATAACTGATGCCTAAACTACAAAATATATGCTTGCCTCCTCACATCAGTCTAGAGCCTTCTTCTCTAAAGAAGGACCTAAAGTACACTCTATATTGTGCTTCCTGAAGCCTTTCTCCTTTTCTTGGAATCAAACGCAGTCAACAATAGAGACTATTCCTTCTCATCATCTTGCTTATGGACCCCAACTGTACAACTGTTAGCAACAGGTGAGAGAAGGAAGATGAAGTCTATGATTTGGGATTCCATCTTCAGTACCACCCATTTGCTTGCTTGATTTTATTCCCAGTGGCTCAGAAAAGTCACACATGTTTTGCAGCCTTTTCTTTCCTCTCTAGTGACAACCTAGCCACTGTCTGCAACACCTGATTGTTTTTGTTTTGCTTTGCAGGGCTGGGGCTCATCTGATCTAGACAAGCGGTCTACCACTGAGCCAAATCCCTAATCACACGTGACTTTTATGCATCCCTTCCTGTGTTTCATTTTGGTTTTCTTACCTTTTTCAGAGCAGATGCTGTGAACAATTTCATTTTTTATGTTCTTTAGGGAATCAAAATTCTGCCCAAAGTTGACCCTTTCGTCTTTCCCAGCAATTTGTTGCAGTTGTGTTTTATTCGCCTCGCCAATCCCGACTGCGTGAATGGTGACATCTTCAGCCCTTATTCTGTTGGCAGGTTCTAGAACACTGTCTTCTGACTTCCCATCGGTCAGTACAATGAGATAACAGGGGATTTCATTTGCCCTCTCTGATTTCCCCTTCTTTATTATCGGCAGTATGAAGTCCAGGGCTTTCCCAGTGAATGTACGACCTTTGAGTTGCTTGATGTTAAAAACAGCCTTCTTCAAGGCAATGCCATCCAGGTAGAGGGAGGCAGGGAATTCCACTTCATTCTTATGTGAATACTGCACGACTCCAACTCGGACATTGTTGGGACCGACGGGAAACATGTCTATCACAGACGACATAAATATCTGGATTTGCTCAAACTGTTTCTTGTGGATGCTGGACGAGCCATCAATGAGGAAATAGATATCAGCCTCCTTTGTATCTACACAGCCTAAAAAATGAAAGAGAATGGGAAGTGTGTTCTCTTTCAATCAAAGAGCATCTCGAGGGAACTTTCTCCCAGGGTTTGTGTGGAGCATGAGCCTGTGCAGGTCTAAAGAACAGGGCCTCTGTGTTTGTGTGGAGCCGGGACACTTCCTCGGCACCTTTCTATCCATTTTACCCTTTGAAATCTATCACCATCTTGGGAAAACACTGGCACAGCAAAGCACAGTGGTTTATCTAAGGTCACACAGTCAGTAGATGAAGATCAAGGACCAGATTGCCCAGGCCCCAGACACTGTAAGGAAAATCCTCTTGGAGCTTTGACACTTGCCTCTTTAGAGTCTATGTCTTAATGGTTTCCTGGGAAACAGCATGGTATGGGAAACCATCTGTTCTGCCTGCTTTTGCTTTGCTTTGTTTTTCAACAGAATCTCTAGGCAGCCCAGGCTGGCCTTGAGCTCATGATCCTCCTGCTTCTGCCTCCCAGGTGCAGGATTACAAACATGAACCCCATACTTGGCTGTGACCTCTATTCTTCCCCAATGACCTCTTCTTCCCTGAGCAACTACCACAGTAAAGCCCAAATCAGATTGGTGATATTATCACTCATTTAGAATTTTAAATTAAAATTCAGCCTTACTTCCTACCTTTCTCTCTGACCCTGGTTCCAGCAATTCCCTCACTGTGTTAAGCACATTGGACTTTCTATCCTTTTTGAGAGAGAGAGAGAGAGAGAGAGAGAGAGAGAGAGAGAGAGAGAGAGAGAGAGGGAACCCACTCTGTAGACCAGGTTGGCCTTGAGCTCACAGAGATCCACCTCCTGAGTGCTGGGATTAAGAGAGAGCATGTATGACCACACATGGCTCTATCACCCTTTTTTCATTGTGGCATTTTCCAGAATTGCTTTCATGAGCATAACCTGTTTCTTATCACATAAAATCACTTTCAGACAGCTCTGCCTAAGCCTTACTTCTGCTACATAGGCCTGGCACATCACAGAAATTTATCAACTGGCTTAAACAAAATACCTCTCATCCTGCTATGGAATAGAATATTTGTCTGAATCTTGGGATCATACTTATTTCCAGTAGCATTTACTTCTTAAGGAACAGTTGCTGAAAGTCTACAGTAATGTCAGGGAACATTACTTGCCCCAAAGTTTCCAATGAAGGAAGAATTCTACAATGGCCCAGTTGCCCTGTGTTTAAAAGATTGGCCTATTTACTTAATGGCATATGAAGCTGACATTTTGAAAACTGTAAGTCATTCATTTCCTACAATGACTACAAAGAGAAGTGATCACCTGTTGAGGAAGTTAAAATTAGCTGGGCAAGAACCTGTAAGTGGAAGTAGGAGGATCAGGAATTCAGGGTCATCTTCAGCTACATAGATAATTCCAAGCTTGCCTGAGCTACGTGAAGAAGAAGAGTGAAGGGGGATGGAGAGAGGGTAAGCAATAGGCAGGGAGGGTGAGATGGAAGGAGGGAGAAAGAGGAAGTAAGGAAAGAAAGAGGGAGAAGGGAAGAAAGAAAAGGGAGGGAGGGAGGGAGGGAAGATTGCCTAAGATTGCAATCATCTGCAAAGACTGTGTTGCTCTGGTCCTGCAAACCTTGAAAACAAGCACAGTGAACTGATGCATAATCTAATGAAGAAGCAAGCATTCACCAGCAGGAATGCCCTCTACCCTCATATACATCAAGCATCACTCGTCATTGGTCGCTGCTGTTCTTAATACACAAACCTAGAGCTCAGTCAGGAGGGTGCTTGCTACATTGGAGCGAGGACTTTGATCCTCAGCACCTGCATGGGGTGGAGGGAGCAGCAAACAGGCAAAGTCAAGTATTATCTGAAGGTGGACAACAGCATACTTTTTCTCCTTCACATCCATCTACACTATAAAAATGTTTTATGCATCATGTATATGGCTTTATTACATCTTATGGAGGGACAATTTGCACATTATAAAATCAATCCATTGTAAGTATATTATCCAATAGATTTTGACATATTTATAGCTATGCAGCCATTGCACAAATTCAATATTTTTAGCATTATCTCAACCCATAAAAGTCCCCTGACTGAATTTTGATCAATGCCTGCTTCAGTCCCAACCCTGAGCAACCATTCCCATTAAACGTGTAATACCACGATTCTTCTAGACATACCAGTTTTATCAAGCTCTATTTGTTCAGCATGGGTAGAAACTCGGCTCCAGACTTCATTGTGGATCTTCTTCAGGAAGTTCCCACTGTACGATTCCAAGTGTCTGTAGGAGCTGTGTGTGGAAATGCTCTGCTTGGAAGGATAGGACACTATGTCTTCTAACTGTGTGTTGTTGGCACCTTGGATGCCCAGAGCAAACATAGTTACACCCTCCAAGCGAAGATCCAGTGCAGCGTTCCGCACTGCATCATCTGATGGCCTGTGGGTGACCAGCACGGCAATCTGAGGGACCCCTTGTGCCTTTCTGCTGCCACCGGACACTGAGAAGCCTTCTCTCCTCATCTGCTCAATGGCAGCCCCAACTTTAGACCCCCCAGACCGGAGGGAGAGCTTCTGGATTTGCTGTTGGAATTCAGACTGGTTGGTGCTTGACTTCAGGGAAGAAATAGTCTCAACCCTGTCACTGTAGCTCATCAGTCCAAGTCGCATGCAATTGTCCTTCACATCCACAGAGCTGGTGACATTCTCCAGGAAGTTCTGCAGGGCCCTCAGATTTTCTGTGGTCCCCACTGACTCATCCACCAAGAATATAATGTCTGCAAGGGAGTCCTTCTGACAGGATGTGGGAAAGGGAACTGTGGGGATAGAAAAGTGGTAAGGTTAGAAGAAACCACTGGTGTGAGCGAAGGATACTTCAAGGATGGCTAAGACACTGATGAAAATGGAGTTACCACAGACCCGGTTAGACTGTCTTCCTCTTACTAAACAAAAGGTCAAAATTCTGAGTAAGTCTGACAAGGTCAATAATTCAGAAGTTTCATGTATACTTTTTTTCTATACTTAGCAATTTTCCTGCCACATGCCACAGCCACCACTGCCACTGTCATCTCTGTGACCATGCCTACAAGAACCGTCTTCATTGCCAATATACTTTCTACCGTCAGTGTGACCACAGACACCAGCACAGTCATCACCCTGGCCAGCACATGAAACTCGACTCCATTACCACCACTATGGTCCCCACACCCACCTTTTACCAGCGATGTGACCATCGTGGCTGCCACAACATTCATCACTACCATCCTCACACTCTGACATGTGGTGACAGATTGGCAGACATATTCCTGACCTCAACAAGCTTCTTCCAAGTGGTGACAATCATTACAAAGAAAACAGCAGGTGGCTTGACTGACTCTGCTGGTCATGTGGTTGGGGGAGAAACCTACGTGAGATGTGAAGTTGGGTTTGGCCAAAGGATCACACTGGATAAAATGTGAATATAGGATTCAGTCATAGAAAACTCAGTAGAAAGAACAGCAACATGTGGGATAAGCAAGAAATATGTAGTGGCTAGATCCAGTAGGAGAAGGGGAACAAGGGGGAGAGGTCGGAGGGAAGCAGGTCCAGATCACCTGGAAAGCACACAATCTGTTTTAATTTCAATGTAAGCATCACTGCAGTCATGGAGGGAAATGAAGAATTCAAGGTTACAACAAGCTACTGCCCTGGTCCAGGAAAGAAACACTGATTCTAAACAGGAGAACATCAGGAAGCCAGAGCGGCAAGATTTGTTCTGATAAATGACTAGAGACAGCAGAAAACTTAATGATTGGATACAAAAGAAGAAATAGGGGAAACTCCTAGGGATAGAGTTTGTACATATGAATGGATAGTGGCAGTGTGTCTGTCTGTCTGCCTGTCTGTCTGAGACAGTAGGAATGAGTTGCAGATAGGATCCAAGAGTTCTATCTCGGACATGCTAGATTTCACATAGCACTGAGGATCCAGGAGGAAATGTCACATGAGCAGTTGATTGGAAGAATCTGGAGTCTAAGGCAAAGTAGACCACATTCACACCTACTCAAACACAGGAGGATGAATCACACCTGTGCAAAGGGCAGTCAAGAGACAAGCTTAATCTTGCCAAGAGCTACCCCATTAGTTTCCCTGACCCCAGAAGACAGAAAACATGTCTTCCTTATCTCCAGCCCTTCTACCATCAGGCACCTGGTGTGAGAACAACAATATTTATAGAGAATTAATTAAAACTAATTCTTATAAACCTCACTTAGAATCCTACACCACGGGCTAAATCAAACTCTGTGTGACCTCCTCAAGCCCAGCATTTATTTGCCAACAGCTGTTACTATCAACAGCAGTAAACAAGTCATGTAAGTCATTTTTCCATTGTTAGAAGACAGATACCATTTTCCTCCCTTTACAAGGAAAGGAACAGAAACTCCCAGGTTGAGAAAACTACCCAAGGTCCTAAGCAGCCCAGACATACTTTAAACTCAGACCTCACCAATAACAGCCCTTGCTTTACCTTCTAGAAAGCAAGGGTGGGGTCCTTCTAAACAGTACCCTGCCTTGTACTATAAGAAGGAGTAAGAGAAGTCTGATGGGTACATGGGGCCCCCTAAAAGGTGGCAAAGCTCCATTGTCCCTGATAGACCAGACTAAGAGTCAGAGCTTTCCAGGGAAGTCCACTCAGCCGAGGATTCTACTACCGCACTCCAGAGATGTGGCCAATCTTCTCACCAGCGCAGCATCCTTGCTACACACCTGCCTAGAACTGTGACTGGTCCATTTGCTTCATCACCAGCACTGCATGTGCAACCTCCTGTTTTCCTTGTTTCTCACTGATGCTTTCTAGGACCACCTCCCAGTGACTATTGGACTCCAGAGTATTCTGCTTTGAAATCGTCATAGAAAACCCACCTAAGACGCAAGCACAGCATCCTTCAATAAGGTGTGAGCTAGTGGGGCATTAGCATTCCTCCTTTGGGCCAAGGGGATCAAGAATCAAAATAAAGAGAGGCCCTGAGTGTTTCTGCATGGAATATGGGGGCTTTGGGGTAGCTGAAGGAAAGGCAGAGCAGGCACCTGCGAGGTGGCAGTCGGAAGGTAACAGAGATGGCTTCTGAGATGGAAGTCAAAATTGGCCTAAGGACATGCTGCAATGGCTGGGGTCATCACCCCATTCTAAGGACACACTGTGTCAGCTGGGGTAATGCTGATCCCAAGAAGCTCTGAATGCAGTAGACATGAGCATGGATGGCAGGGTCTTAGAGGAAAGAGCAGTCCCATGAGATGTGCTTAGTGGTCAGCATGCATGGTGGGGTTTTAGCGATAGGAGCAGTCCCATGAGATGCACTTGAGGGCCTTTGGGAAAGAAAATGGGAGCATTTCACATAGAAGGGGTAACGACTAAGGTTTTGAATTACGAAAGTGAGGGAGATACTGAGCCAATTCAACTTGAGCTGCTTCCAGTTGGCTCTCATTCATGCCAATAAGCCTTCAATAAATATTCCCAGTATTTCTTCAGTTTAAAGATATATTCTGCTTGGAGAGACATTGTTATATAATAGCAGCACTTCAGAGCCTCCCTAAAAGCACCACTGATGCATTACAGAAACACGTTCTAATGTTAAATCTATGAAAAATATGAAATATTTAGTCACACTGACTCTGTGGCTGGAGAGGTAACAAGCGCCTTTTTGTCTGGAACAGGTACTGATACTCATTAGAGACACTCAAACTCTGGCGCAGGAAGGCTATGCCACTAGGCATACACAGCCCAATAGTGCAGCCCACCACACTAGTGGCCAGCCGGGCTACCCCGTGCTGCCTGTATGGCACAAGCATGAACAAGTACTGGCAAGCCTGTCATGCCACACCCATTAGCTTTGACATGCTAGTTGTGACATGCTATTTGACTGGCACTTACTGAATTAATTACTGCCCATCAGCCTGACATCGTCAGGAATATGACAGAAAAGGAATCACCTACATGGATTTCTGGTGTCTGTGACAGTCAGACTTTCGTTTATTCATAATATGAAACAGGACACCAGCTTACTGTGTTGGGCTCAAAGAATATAGTGATTAACACCGGCTGTCAATTCTACCCCTGTGACACTCCCCAATCATGGCTATAGGACAGGGACAAACAGAGGTGGAGAATTATGGGAAATATTGCTGTCATAAGATGTGCCCAAAGAATGCTGGGACCCAAAACGAAAGCTTCCCAGATAGGAAGAAGGCAGAGTTAAGGTTTAAATGATGGAGCTGTTCTGCCAAAAGGGAGGCAAAGGAAAGCAATAGGATTGGAGCCAGAGAAATGGCGCAGAGGCAAAGAAAAAAGCCGGTATGGGGAAATTCCCAACAGCACAATACAGCTAGTCACAAATATCAGGTGAGAGCTGCCATGGGTAAGGATGGGTACATAGTGTGCCCATAGAGACTGGGCTCCTCTTCAAGGGTTTCCTACCTGTCATATTAGCATTGATTGCAGCTGTGGTTGGGACTCCAGGTGTTATTGGGGCTGCAGGTGTCAATGGGGCCACAGCTGTTCCTTCCCGGTATTTAGTTACGTCTTTGATGATCTGTGTCATGTTTGGGGCAAACGCACTGAGGTCTCTGGCAGTCCTGAGGTTGAAATGGAACTGGGATGTGGCCATGGCCTTCAGGTTTTCCTCAGAAGCCTTCTGCACCCCCACCGAGATGATTTTCACCCCATCTTCCCGCAGGGCCTTGGAAGCCTCTTCCACATCATCCTCAGACTCTGCTGAAGCCAGCACCACCAGGATTGGGGGGAACTGTTTCCTGTCTCTTCCATTTGTGGGAGTGGAGAAATAGGTCCTGTGGGCCTCTTGCAGGGCGTTGCCTATCTTCAGGGACCCACCGATGAACCCCAAGTTCTTCTTCAGGTGGTTCAGCATGGGGTTCCTGTTCTTGAAGGTGTCCAGCTGGAACTCGTTGTAGAGAGCATCGCTGTACTGGGCCAGGGCCACACGGTACTTGCTGGCCTCTATGGGGAGGCTGGTGATCAGCTTGTTGAGGAAAGTTCTCACAAACGGGAAGGACTTACTCCCCAGGTCATCAGAGCTGTCTACCAGGAACACCACATCTGCATACTCGGGGCCTGGCCCTGTGCAATAAAGACAGCAAGCACAGTTTTATTCCCACCATCATATTTTAGAACTCACTACTCACTTGTGACTATGTTATTGTGCCTTCGTGGCTTTATCCTAACTCCAAAGATGTTTTCTTCCCTGGAAGTCAAACAGAAGAAACCACTTGTTTTGCCTGACATGTCAAGGAGGCAGTAGTAAAGTCAGCCAACAGATTTTTCTTTCTCAGACCTATTTCTAAAAGCAATTGACTTTTTTTTCTTATTTCTAGAGCCCCAAACTATGATATTGTACTACAAAATCAATGACATTGTGGTAGCACCCCAGAAGGTCCCAATGTGGTCTGAGGATCGCAATGTGGTCTCGGGACTAATAATTATTTTTGGCAACAGCACAGAATATGCAGCTGCCTTGGGCTGGAGAACTTAGGAGCAGAGTGAAGAAAGACTTTAGTTGCATGGAATTGTCTGAGGCCCACAGAGCAAGAGAGTTGGGATCAGACATGGCATGGAGCAAAGAGAGGTCACCAGTGCATCGCCAGGGTTAGTCTGAAAGTGCCTGAAACATAAATTGCCACAGCTATTCCATGCAGATGCAAAGAAGAAAAAAGTATAGCTATGGCTTCTTTGGTAAAGGAGCTCAGGGAAAGCCAGCGGCTGTAGTGCACCTGCATCTTTTGCTAGGCTGGGGCTCAAAGAGTTTGGGATCTTGAACCATTATAAATTGGTGATGTTCAGACTGGAGATACTCAGCATGTATATTTCATAGTGTAAAAGGGGAAGAGGCAATGGTTTAGTCACAGAAACACTTGCATTATACTTTCTGTGTGATATTCTTTGTCTTCCACCTACTAAAGGGGAAGAATATATATGATACATATATATCATATATATATGTGTGTGTGTGTGTGTGTGTATTAGTGAGAGAGATAAATGGATAGATTTTACCTTTATATATATGCACCTAGAAAAGCAAACTACTACTCTGTATTATGATAGCCCCATAATAATCCTTGCCTAGTGTGCTAGCTGATTTTGTGCCAACATCACACCACATAAACCAGAGTGACTTGAGAACAAGGAATCTCAATTGAAAAGAATGCCCCACCAGATTGGCCTGTGGCTGAGCCTGTGGTACATTCTTGTAATTGATGATTGCTTGGGAGGGCCTATCTAACTGTAGGCAATGTCATTCTCCGGCTTGTAGGCCTGGGTGCTATAAGAAAGTAGGCTGGGCAGAGTATTAGAAAGCCCTAAGAAGCTCCCTTCCACGACCTCTACATCATCTGTGTCCAGGTTCCTGCCCTTTGTTCCTTCCTTAGGTTGACATGTTGTGCTGTGTAACTGTAAGCTTTCCTCCACAAGGTGATGTTGGCCAGTGGAGTTTTATCACAGGAACAGAACCCCTGATGGAGACACATAGAGGAAATGAAGGAATAGAAGGGATTGAAGTTTACTTCTGAAATAGTGTTGTATGCTGAGCTCTGCAACCTTGTAGGAGCCCCTTCCTCTTAGGAAGGTGAATGTGTGCAGTAAGAAATGATTGCCACAGATATCTGCTCACTCCACAGATCCAGCCTGCAGTGGCAGGAATGTTTTAACTTCTTCTACCTGCAGTGTTTGTTCCTGTGATCATGTGTAATTGTGATGGAGATTCCCCTTGGTGGAGATAGGTTTCAAAGACCACCCTCAGATGCTCACATCACCAAGGATTTCATCAGTGTTAGCCAATCTATAAAAGCTGGAAGAAACTGTGGGTTGGAGCTAGACCTGATGAAGCATCAGCTTGGGTTCAAGCCCATGTAAATAAAAGCTGAGTTTTCTTGCTGTCTTCCAAGTGCCTGCATGGTTGTTCACTGGACACCATTTCTGCAACATTTCTGAAGATAAGGCTCAGACTACTCAATACACAGTGGACTTCCTGTATTCACAGAGACATGACATGTTGAGAGTTATACAAATCAATGAATATAGTTTTTGGTTATTTGGGTTTTTTTTTTTTATCCAGGGTTATATAACATGATTTTTTTTTAATCCATAGCTTTCTCTACCCTTAAGTTATAAAGTCTGTTTAATGTTATGTTCTGTGGCTTCTGTTAAGTGTTGTGCACTTTTTATTAACATGTCTCCAAACAATAATGAACAAAAAGCATACTAATACCTGGGCTCTGATCTGCCAGCACTTCAGTCCAGAGGATTAGGACAAACACAGTTATCTGAAGCTTCATTCTGTTAGTGGGGCTTTCTTAACTTTTATTCTGTTAAAAAAAAAAATTCAATCTGAATTATGTGTTTCTTAGTTAAGATTTCTATTGCTGTAAAGAGACACCATGACTATGGCAACTCTTAAAACACTTATTTGGGGTAGTGGCTTACAGTTTCAGAGACTCAGTCCATCATCATCATGGCAGGGAGCATGCAGGCAAACACGAGACTGGAGCTGAGAATCTTGCAGGTGACAGGAAGTTGACTGACTGTGACACTGCATGAAGCTTAAGCAAAAGCCCGCCCCCTCAGTGACACACTTCCTCCGACAAGGCCACACCCACCCCAAGAAAGCCACACCTCCTAATAGTGCCACTCCCTATGAGGGCCAATTACATTCAAACCAGTATGCAATACTGGAGACCAGGAACTACCTATAGGACAGTATACTGAAAAGAAGTATTTTCAACAAAAAGCAAGTTTATTTATGCAGCATCCATCAAGCGTGTGGGATATTTGCTGAAAACAGATGTTGGTGTGTATCATTGGTCCCTGAATGTGGCTCAAAACCTTCCTCAGCACTTTCCAAGTATCATCTCAGAAAGTACTGTAGCTATGTGACAGATAGGGAAACTGAGGCACAAAATGACTTGATAGATGGCAGATCCAGAATGTTTCCCCGGATTCAGGGATTACCATGCCCAGGCTTTTCACACCAGTGCCACCAACCTTATGCAAAGCATGGTCTCCACAAACTATACATGCACTATGTTTTATCCTCTGTTCTTATTCTGACAATGATAATTGTCTATGCTCATCACTTTTTCCAAGAAGCCAATAACGACTGGTGTTTTCTCCATCACATGATTATGAACACTGTTCTCATGGATCTGGGAATCAACTGTATTGGTTAATTTTCTTAATTAACTTTTATTAATTCTTTGCATATTTCACATCATGGATCCAGATCCCCCCTTTTACACACACACACACACACACACACACACACACACACACACACACACCTCTACCCTCTGCCCTTGCAACCTTCCCAAAAAACAAGAAGAAAAGAGAAAAAGAAGAGGAATCTCAATCTAGAAGCTGTGGTGTGGCCTGATGAGTCACACATTTCACCCTCTAGTCCTTTCATCTTTATCTGCAACACTTACAAATGTCATTGCCACAAGTCACTGGTCTGATCTGAGGTGTCTGTCCTCTGTCACACACAAGGGGGTCTCACCAGGGCTCCAGAGAGAAAGGTACCCTGACTGTGGGAAGTCAGGAAATACCTACAGCTGTTAAGGGAAGCTATCCTGTGAAGGGCCAGCCAGTGAGGGACATGGCAGCTCAGGGCAGACCTCAGATTTTAACACACATGGTTTCTATGACCCCTTGTGATAACACAGGCCACGGACATCAGCATAGACCCCAGCTGCAGCAAGATCACCCACCCAGACACGGACCTCAGCAGCTGCTCAGGCCTGACATCACCGTGGCCCCAGTGGCGACACAGGCCACCTAGATCAGTAGGATCTTGACAGCTGACCAGATGCTGGGCATCCACAAAGCCCTCAGTGGTAATAGAAGCCATATCACCTAAGACCTTGACCACTGAAGGGCCATAGACCCAGACATGGCTCTCAGCAGCAGCCCTGGCCAGGATGACACCACAGCCCATATGGTCACGGGTGCAGCCTAGCGTCCTGGCATCCATGTGATCTTTAGTGGCAACATGGGCCACGGACGTCAATAGAAACTCCAGCTGTAGTAGGATCACAGTCCCAGACATGGTCCTAGGAAGCAGCCAGAACTCAAATGTCACAACGGCCCCAGGTAGCGGTACAGGCCGCTCAGATTGGCTTGACCCCTGTGTCAGCGTCACCTCACACACCAACATGGTCCCAGGTGGCAGCCTAGACCACAGGCCTCTGCAAGGCCCTCCTTGGTGACAGGAGCCACAGAGATCATCTCAGGCCTCCTGAGCCCAGGCCTGGACATCAACTCGGACTGGGGTGGCTGGCAGGTCATCATGTCAGCCTGTTCCTCAGCATCCTCAGGTTCTTCACCTCTCTCTTTTCCAACCCCCACCCTGTACTTGCTCAGCATAATAGTGCCCAACTGCCTGATGCCAGAGCCTCTTACTACATACAGTTCTCTGGTGGCCTGAGACAATGCCTGGTTGGGTCCCGCTCACCCCAGCCAGATGGCAAGGCACAGAGCTGCTGCTGATGTCCTGACTAGCTAATTTTTTTTTTTTTTTTTTAATCACTGCAACCAAATAAGAACTTAGTAGAAGGAGAGTGTATTTAGACTCATGGGTTGAGGTGGTGTGAGGTGTCATGGTGCGGCAGGCATGTATAAAACTCTGTTCTGGCATCTCAGTGATCGAGGAGGAAGAGAGGGAACAGGAAGTACAGCGGAACCACAGACATTACACTTCCTCTAGCTAAGTCCCACTTCTCAAAAATTCCACAACCTTCCGAATAGCACCACCAGCTGCAGACCAAGTGTGCAAATGTGAGCCTTGGGGGATCTTACTGAAATTCCATCACTGGGGTAGACATAAACAGTGACTGACTCTTCCTATGGTTCCCACAACAAACCAAGATGGGATCCCATCCAAGTTTTCTCTGGGGAACCAATGACTGTATTACTTACCGGTCAGTGGGTGAGGGGTTACAGGTGGGAGCAGCCACACTGGAAGGTCTGAACCTGGCAGGGATGGAGATGATCCCCTTGGCTCTCCTCACCCTTCCACACCTGTAGTCTCTTCCCCTTCCCCTTCCCAGAGACCCCAGGGCTCCCTGCGATTTGGGCAGAATTGCATGCAGCTGGTTGGCAGGAGTGGCTAAATTCTCAGGTGAGGGTCCAAGGACCCTTCCCACTCCCTCTTTCCAAGAAGTAGAATCAACAGTCATCAAGCCCAGCTGTCATGCTCCTGGGAGGGGGAAAAACCTGAAAGGAGCAGCAGTTTGGCTCAAAGGCTAGTCCTGTACAACCAGGGGTGTTTCCCATCCAAACCACAACGTGGCAAGTGTTAAAGTAATACAAGTTCATCATTTGTCTACACCTGGTTCACATTTAATCAGAAATCTTCATGGGGAATTAAAATCTCACAGAAATCCCATCAAATTTGAGTTGCTCTTTATTTAAAAAAAAAAAAAGACAAAAGAAGAAATCAAAACAACCAATGCTTTCAAATAGGCATACCTTTAAGAAGATACTAAAATCTGCAGCCAGTTCTGTACATTTGGATTGTTTTGGCACTTGGACTATTGTGAGTAAGGCTGTCATGAACATTTTTGTACAAATTTTGTATGGGTATAAACACTCCAGTCTTTCCATATTCTTGTTATTATAGAAAAACAAAAACTTGCCGAGGGACTTGAGAGATGGTTTAGCATTTAAGAGTACTGGTTACTCTCCCATAGGACCTGGATTTAATTCCCAGCACCCACATGGCAGCTCACAATGGCTTGTAACTCCAGTTCCAGAGGATCTGATACCTTCTTCTAGCCTCTGTGATCACTGAATTCAAGTGGTACACACACACACACACACACACACACACACACACACACACACACACACACATACACACGTGAGCACAAACAAAATGCCCATATGCATAAAATGAACAACAACAACAAATACTTGCTGAGTATGGTGGCACATGCCTATGATCCTATAATTTAGGAGGGGAGGGCAAGGGAATCTAGTGTTCAAGTTCATTCTCAACATAATGATTTCAAAGTCAGCCCCAGCTACATGAGACAATATATATGCCCATTCTAGTAAGCACAAATGGCATTTCATTGTGGTGTTGATTTGCATTTCCCTATGAAAACTGATTATATCTTTTCACATACATATTGGGCACTTATATATCTTCCTGCAGAAACATTGATACTGTGCCCACTTTTTAAGTGGGCTCTTACTGCTGTATAGAGGTAATTGATGCTAATATATCCTGATGTTAGACACTTAGCAGATGATAAATGACTTGCAAAGACTCCACCCATCCTGTGGATTATATTTATACCTTCTTAAGACATACATTAAGGCACAGTGATTTCAAATTTTATAAAGTCCAATTTGTCTGAGTTTTGTTGCTTATGCTTTTTAAGATTTATGTTTTGGATGAAACTAAGAAAAAAGTCATCCTGAGTGATGTACCACAGACCCCAGACCCAAACATGGCATGTGCTCGCTCATGAGTGGCTATTAGTAGTAAAATATGCTACAATCCATAGACCCAGAAAGACTAGGTAACAAGGAGGCCTCAAGGGGGACACCAGGGTCTTCCTGGGAAGGGAAATAGAAGAGGTTTCACAAGTGGACAGCATGTGTGAAGGATAGGAACATGAGTGAACAGGTTGTGAGGAGCATGTACTAAAGAGACTACTGGAAAACGGGGATGTCTTAGTTAAGATTTCTATTGCTGTGAAAGATGCCATGACCATGGCAACTCATATAAAAGAAAGCATTTCATTGAGGCAGTGGCTTACCGTTTAGAAGTTTAGTCCATTGTCATCGTGATGGGAACATGGTGGCATGCAGGCAGACATGGTGCTGGCGAAGGAGCTGCTCCATGTTAATATGTGGATAACAGGAAGTAGACTAAAACACTGGGAAGTATCTTGCGAATGAGAGACCTCAAAGCCCACCTCCATGGTGACACAAAGTGGGGATGACTGGAAAAGTCCCAGAGAGCTGCTAAATTTTAATGACCAAGGGTGTCAGACACAGAGGCTCAGAGCTATAAGGGCCAGCCACTTTCACCAGCCACTGTCAAAGGATCACAGCATGGTAGGCCTAAGGACACTTGTCATTGTTGAGCTAACACCCATACCTGTTTATGAGCTGCTTGCTGTTATCTGCTGCTGCTGTAAGCAAGAATGACAATAGCTGCCAGCCTGAGCTGTGGCTGGTACACCCCCTCCTAGAACAATACACCTAACACTTGAGTATCAGGGCCTATCTGGTTTCTAAAGCATGGAGCAATAAGCCCTTGGCTTTCACAGTTTGAAGTGAGTTCTGAGTCACCAATCCAGACTC